TATTCTCTTTGCCCTCAAATGACGTAAAACTATGTTTCATGTTGGATTCCTAATACCGATAAAATAGAGTGTCTAGATGCTATACCTATACGATCTAAGAAAAATTTAGATTTAATATAATAAAAAATAATTTTGAATATTTGCAATATTGTTGTGTTGTAATCGATGTAAAACCATGGTTTTGCTCTGTGGGTTGATTGTTTATGATGCAGTCCAATGCCTCCATTAATAATCATATTAAAATATCGAAATATTTTAATATTTTCGACTTTCATTTCTATTATTTACGATAATGATGCGACATTATTATAATAATAAACAAATTTATTCTGTCAAATTATTCCTCGCTGGGGGTTGCAGACACTGTAAATGTCTCTAATTTACAAAAGAACGAAAAAAGGAAAGTAGTGAAAGTAGACCAGAACCGTACTTATTTCTGTTTATCTCTATGAAAATGGAACTATCACTATATAAGGATTTTTTTGCTGTATTCCTAAGAAATTGCATCGGATTTATATAGTGAAAGCAGCTGGGCTGGTTTGCACTTAACTATTTCATTTTCCAGTTATTTTATTTATAGCTCGAGATTCTCAGCTGGGTACCATGTTTCTTATCGTTATTATTATCTATTATCAACTCCACTATCGGACAAAAGTAGAGAAACTTTTTAAAATACCGTCTTTTTTGCTAACGCAGGGACTGAGGCCATTTTATGCATTGTTATTGTCTATTTTATTTTGTAGATTTTTCTAGCAGTGCAGTGGCGAAATACCCATAAAGGATTTTTTTGGATAGATGAATCCGCCACATAGGTATAGACATTTTTTACAGGTACATAGTTGTTGTGAACCTAATAAAATTAATAATGGGTAGAATAACAGTGATTAGCTATAACTTCACGACATCGCTTTGGCATGGAGTCCAATAGTTTTCTTATGGTATCTGGTTCAATGGAATTCCAGGCCTCTTTCAAAATTCTTATTAAATCTTTCTTATTGCTAATGTGACTTCGTCTTACCCGGCGATCTAGTTACTCCCACAGGTTTTCAATGGGGTTAAGGTCTGGACTTTGGGCTGGAAAGCCCATAACTCTAATTTGTCCAAAAGTTTTCTTAAGGTATCTGGTTCAATGGAATTCCAGGCCTCTTTCAAATTTCTTATCAAATCTTTCTTATTGCTTATGTGACTTCGTCTGACCCGGCGATCCAGTTCCTCCCACAGGTTTTCAATGGGGTTAAGGGCTGGACTTTAGGCAGGAAAGTTCATAACTCTAATTTGTCCAATAGTTTTCTTAAGGTACCTAGTTCAATGGAATTCCAGGCCTCTTTCAAAGTTCTTATCAAATCTTTCATATTGCTAAAATGACTTTGTCTTACGCGGCGATCTAGTTCCTCCCACATGTTTTCAATGGGGTTAAGGTCTGGACTTTGGGCAGGAAAGTCCATAACTCTAATTTGTCCAAAAGTTTTCTTAAGGTATCTAGTTCAATGGAATTCCAGGCCTAGTTCAAAATTCTTATCAAATCTTTCTTATTGCTAACGTAACTTCGTCATACTCGGCGATCTAGTTCCTCCCACAGGTTTTCAATGGGGTTAAGGTCTGGATTTTGGGCAGGAAAGTCCATACCTCTAATTTGTCCAATAGTTTTCTTAAGGTATCTGGTTCAATGGAATTCCAGGCCTCTTTCAAAGTTCTTATCAAATCTTTCTTATTGTTAATGTGACTATGTCTTACGCGGCGATCTAGTTCCTCCCACAGGTTTTCAATGGGGTTAAGGTCTGGATTTTAGGCAGGAAAGTCCATTACCATAATTTGTTCAGACAAAAACCATTCTTGTAAGACTTTCGATTTATGCGTTGGATCATTATCTTGCAAACCAAAGCAAACGGAATCATCACTTTCCTTGACCTCGCCAATTATCATCGATTGTCATTTTCCCAGCAGTCTTTGACGCCATTTTTTTTTCGATCATACGGTATACCTTTTGTGGTCAACAGTCTAAGAAAAATTACTACAAAATATATATGGTCAATGGTTATTTAAGTCAGGAGCTTTCAAAAACCAGAAACGACAAAAAATTGGGAACAATTAATTTACAAGAGTTGTTTTTTTTTCTATGTCACGCTTGTTACACCGAATGTGACAACTCTAAATCTTTTAAATTAACTGGTGTGCACTCTAGAATGTAGTGTGTCTATTAGAGCGTGTCAACAATTAGGCAGTAGATTCAGATTTAGGAGAAATTCAATAAAAATTTAAGAAAAAAAAACACAAGTAAGAAAAAAGAAAAATAACTAAAAATTAGCCGAAAAAAAAGAAAGTTAATTCTATAAAAATATTTTTTTTTTGGTGCCATCAGTGAAATATGATGTTTAAAAATCTTCCACACACGATAGAAAGTTGATATTTCGTCAAAACAAAGATACCGTTTGAACAAATCTCCTTTTTATTGTCTGTCAGATTGACAAAAGAAGTAAAACCCATATTGGGTTTAATCTTATATTCGTTTGACTTTCACAGTAATATTGCACAAAACCAAAACTCAACAAATGAAATGCAACCACAGGCTGTATTTAGAGCAGTGCAAGGCCACAAAGGCTCTTTGTATAATGATTTATATGACTTAACCCACAAGAATGCATTTTTTTATCGAATTTTATATCCATATAAAGTTTTTTATGAACGAATATTAAGTTGACAAGGTTGGAAAGGGAAAAATTACGTCAAGAAATAATGCCATCTCGGTTTTGCACAATTTATTTTGTTGAATATTACATGAAGAAAAGTAAATATATCTTAAAGATACACTAACCATTGCTGTTTGTTTATCAGATTAACTGTAGGATAGCAGCGGTATTTTTTTCTTGTTGTGAGAATCTTTACAAGGCCATTAAAGCTTTCAAATTAGTTCCTGTCTGAAGAATTACGCAAACAAATTAGAATATCTTAATTTTTTTCTAATGGACTTATTAAATTAACACTACAAGAATCACTATATTATATTTAGTAAGTCTTCTACTTCAAAAAAATTATTGTACGTATTTTTTACACGTAAATGTTGACAATTTTGATTTAATATACAGGATGAGTTTTAAATAAGTGCAAATATTATTAGGGGTGGTATATTCGACCCCAGGAACACGTATATGAGTTTTTTTTAGCAAAAAAGGATGTTGAAAATTGTGCCAGCAAGTAAATTTAGTTTAGAAACGGTTATATTTCGAAAATCACTCGGTATATAAGCATTATGGCATTTTTGGAATGGAAATTTAATGGTAAATCCACTGAGTTAAAAAAATATACAGGGTGGTCTGAACTGTATTCCGGAAACTTCGGCAGCATATTCTACAGATAAAAATAAGTAAAAAAGTTCGTATAAATGTATGTTCTAAAATGCTTAGTTTCGGAGATACAGGGTGTAGAAGTTTTATTTTTATTTCGATTTTTTCCAAATAATTTTTGAAATAATGTCAATATTTCGATGAAAATTGGTGTCTGGGAGTTTTTTGACAAAATAAATGCCAATAAGACTCCTAATTTTTACGTAAAAAACGTCGTAAATGCATATTTTTTTACTCAGCTGTTTTATACAGGTACGGACGAAAAATTATTACTCTTCAAATCAGTTAAAAATATGTAGATGGCGCCCTCTACAAGTAGAAGTCATATTGACCTCAAAATCAAATTTCTCATGTCAAAAAACTTCGAATCATCAATTTTCATCCAAATATTGACGTTACTTCAGAAATTATTTGGAAAAAATCGAAATAAAAATGAAACTTCTACACCCTGTATCTCCGAAACTAAGCCATTTTAGGACATACATTTATATAAAGTTTCCGGAATTCAATTCGGACCATCCTGTATAGTATTTCATTCAAGAATATACAACTTTGGTTTGAAAATATGAATCACCCTGTATGTTAACAAAAATATTTTCAAAATGTGTGTTACCATCGTCCCCATATCATGTAAAAAAAATTGAAATAAAATTCACAAACAAAAACCTAATAATATAGAGCTTTTTCGGAAGCCAAGATTTTCAACTTTTAAAAAACTGGCAAAAACATGTTTTACTTCGTACAAATTATGAAATTTTATACATTATGTTAGTTTTTCACGATTTTCTGTTTTTTATAAATAATTAAACAGATAAATTAACCAATTATGCGACTCAGAACAATGGTATTGTTCGATTCCATATTGCCCATAAACATTTACCATTTCCTTGAAGGAAAATATGCATTTTTTCCCGCTTTTGCAGGATTCTAATGTCACATTGGAAATACCGCGAGCACTATAAAGCTTATAAGGTCAATTATATGCCAATAAAATGCTGCATTGTTCGCGGGACGGATCATCTCTGTTTCTACGGGCAAAATAATATTGCTAGGTCGTCATGTATGTAAAATAAAATTGTTTATGACAAGTTCAAATGCCAGTTAAAATTCTTTAGCGGGATTTTAGTTGAAAAGGATGTATATTTTTATAGGGGTTTCTTGACCAATCGCCTGTTGGTCTCCAATGTAATATAATAACATTCTGTACCTCGAACGAAAAAAAAACGGCGTCACGTTAGCTTTTGAATTATGATATAATAAAATATAGTTTAGTATCCCAGCGCGATGTAATCTTCTATTTTACATAATCTAATAAATGCAAATGTGGGTACACCGTTTTGTAACATTATTCGCGAAAGAAGTACTACATGATTAAATCGTGAACTAGATCTACCTACATCATCGTTTTGTTACAACAATTAACAATAATAGGTATTGTTTAATAGCCATGTTGCCAAATTACGCTCAAAACACGTTACATGTTCAGTTTTAATTTAAAAATATTTTGAAGCCGGTATATCTCTGGATTAGACCAAAAATACTGCTCATTTTAGACGCAAAAGTAGTAATTTTAAGCTAACCGAAATTACAAAAAAAATCGATGTTGCCAAGTGGTTGTAAAATTCTTTAAATCTAACGATTTTTCTTATTTAATTCTAGGTTTCGCCTTATGGGTACGACCATGTGGATAATCTCCATTCTGTCCATCACAGAACTGACCGGTGGACATTCCACTCTCGTCCAGTACAATTTCGATTATGCTCCATACTTACGACCTCTGCCGGAAGATATAAAAGAAAAAGTGCGTTTGGCAGTGGCAGCGGAGAAGAACAGCCAGGATTTTGAGAGCGAATGCGTGAAAAAGGAACATTTGGAAGTACTGTGTCCACCGAATAAGTTTAGGAGAGCCTCGGGGGAGTGTAACAATGTGAGGCACAACATGTGGGGGGCTAGGGGTGCCCCGTTTTTGAGAATGATCGATCCTGAGTACGCTGACGGTGAGTTCTAGACCTTAGATAGGAGATATTTGCTTCTGATGGAAATTTTCATTTTATTAACATTTTTTTAAGCTACATATAGAACAATAGTTATTTTTTATACAAGACGATAATGCAATTTTATCGTCGTGTATAAAACAATATTTTTTTCCATAACGAATTACGTTTTAAAAAATATTCAGGAATTATTATTTCAAAGAATTTATTACGAGTAGAAAAAATATTGTGCTGGGTTGGAATTGGTTTCTATGTAATTTGACAAATAAATAAAGCTGTCTCTTTAGTTGTCAGTTTTGAGTCAATATTTTTTAATTCTCTTTCGTGTCGATTGCTGATTGAATTGGAGCCGGAAATGGCTCAAAACGAAATAAGTAAATTACCAACAGATATTCAGGCTGAGGCGACAAACGCCATATCCAAACTACTTCCATTTAAATCCTGAATAACTTATGAAAAGGAATACAAAAAAATTCAAAAATGGAAGCAATTAAAAAACGTGCGAGAAGAAATAAAGTTTTTAACCTATCCTCGCTGTTAAAGTATCATTTAATGTACTCTTGCGGTTAAAGTACTATTTTATCTACTATTTTTGATAGATTAATTGATTAAAGTGTCCGTTTTTCGTGCCGGTTAGTGTATATTGCCTATTAGATTCAAAAGATCAACCGCCACACATAATATATACCTCTGATTATATATTATTGTTTTACATAATGCTATAAAAACAATGAAGACGTTAAAATAAAAATTTCATATATTTCTTGGACGTCCTTGTTACCAGGATCTTCACTATTATACAGGGTGTTGACCTTTTATAACAGGCAGCTTTTTTTTTCGAAGCGAAATTCTAATAGAATACATTTTAATATAATAGGATCCGTCTTTGAGAACTTTTTTTTGACTTACAAATAATATAGTACGTTCAAAAATGGTTGAAACAGCTTCAATTTTGTTATCTTTTTTTCAGGAAAACTATCACCACGTCAATTTTCCACACCCCTTCCCAACCCCCTACTAGTGTCATCCACATTGCAATCGATACCTCCAAAATCACACGAATATGTCACCTCACTTCTTGGAGCTTGGAGTGAGTTACTTTTGCACGATTTAGCCATGACTGGCAACTTGAGAAGTCAGGATTGCTGTAGCGACTCAGACAAGAAACATCCTGAATGCTACAGTAAACTTGGAGATGGTCAGTGTAAAGAATACATGAGGACCTTGCCTTCCATAGATGTAGATCAGTGTAAATTTAGTAAGTTTTTTAATTGTATTTATAAAAATATAAAAAAGTTATGCTGAATCTTGTTTTTCAGGATATAGAAACCAAATGAACTTAGCTTCCTCTTTCCTGGATGGTTCCGCCATATACGGTACTACTGACGAGCAACTAGTCACATTAAGAACCTTCGATAACGGGTTAGTTAATGTTTCCGCATGTTCCTTCTGCCAATCGAATGCCCTGTATGCCGCCATCTTGAAAGAACACAACCGTATCGCTGTCAGTTTGGCTGAACTGAACAAACACTGGACTGACGAGGAACTGTTCTTGGAAAGTCGCAGGATAGTCATTGCTGAGATTCAGCACATTACGTACAACGAATTTTTGCCAATAGTTTTAGGCCAAGTAAGTAGAATTTATTTCTTATAAAACTTCAAAACACTCTCTGGGAGTAATTATCGGTTTTTGCCAATTTTCACAGTCAGTCTTTTTTTAAAAATTGTACTTTTAAGCACTAACAGTTCTTTTAAGAACTAATTTACTTGATATTGTTCTAGGAATCAATAGTTACATCAGAACTAAACCTAAAACCCCATGGAAGATTCTCCAAGTATTCAAGCTCAAGAAAAGCAGGAGTCTTTAACGAAGTCGCCATGACAGCATTGCCAGCTCTTCTATCTATGTTGCCAAATCGCCTGGTAAGTACTACAATACACAGAAACACATATCAAAGTTTATAACTCAAATTTTCTACAATAGATGAACGAAACAGCAAACTCATTCGCCGAAATGATCGACATTCTGATCTCTCTACCAGCTCAGAACCCCAGCATGCACATGGCAGTACCTTTGAGAGAAAGCCGGGACACGTTTGCACTATTCTTGCATATGGGACGTGACCATGGTATCCCCGGATACCTCAAAATGGTCGAGTACTGCACTAACAATACAGCAAACAAGTCAAAGCGTTTTGACAGTTTGACTGAGAAAATTAAGCCTGAATACATCAAAGCCTTGAAGTACCTTTATAAAAATGCCGAAAGTATAGATCTGCTAGTAGGAGCATTACTAGAAACGCCACTGCCTGGAGCTATTCTAGGTTCAACATTGAACTGCCTGATGTCCAAACAATTCATTTTGTTAAAAAAGAGTGATAGATTTTGGTATGAAAACGACTTACCACCTAGTTCGCTGACAACGTCTCAGTTAAAAGAAATAAAGAAAATAACACTTGCTGCTTTGTTGTGTGTGAACACTAAAGGTTTGGATAAGATCCAACCCAAGGCTTTTGTAGCTGAGGATACTTATTTGAATGCCCGTATTGCCTGTGACCAACATCCGCTTCCTCAGCTGGCTGAGTGGGCTGAAATGAACCCTATGACTGATATTAGTGAAGAACTTCTGATGGATGCACTGTCTAAAGCTGAACAAAAACTATTGGACAGAAGGAAAATGGAATACAAAGTTTGGAGTACAGGTATAACCATATTTTTTTTAATTTACCAATTTATGTTAATATGTATTAGAGATTTAACATGAATCTCAAAGTAAATAACTTGAGATCTATTGATGTATGTTCTATTTTCAATGAATCTCAAAGTAAATGGCTTAAGATCAATTAACAGTTTAATTTGTATTAGATTTTTATAACATCTCAAAGTAAATAACTTGAGATATATTAAAAGTTTAATTTATATTAGATTTTGAATCAATCTCAAAGTAATAACTTGAGATTTATTCGTGTCTAATATATTTTAAATAAATCTCAAATCATACCCTTTGGCTTTGAGATCAATTAAGAATGTATCTCTCTTTAAGTTTAATTTACAGTATATTTTCCATCAGCTTCTCAAAATAAATAACTTGAGATCTATTAATTTCTATTATATTCTTAAAGAATTTTACAGTATATGGCTTGAGATCTACTAAGAGTTTAATTTGTATTAGATTATTATTCAGTCTCAAAGTAAATAACTTGAGATTAATTAACATGGCTTCTTTCAGAACACCAGAATTCTGAAACATGATCACAAGATCTAGTTGTAATATATTTTCAATCAATCTCAAAGTAAATAACTTGAGATGTATCGATTTATTTTACAAATTCAATGAGTCTCGAAGTAAATGAGGCGTGATATCTATTAAAAATTAATTTTTATTTGTTTTTAATTGAATATCAAGGTAAATATCTTGAGATTTATTAGTTCTCCCTATATTTCTGATGAATCTCAAAGTTATTTTTAAATGGCTTGATATTTTATTTTCTGTTACACATTTTCTATGAATCTCAAAGTAAACAGCTTGAGACCTATTATTAGATTATTTGTATTTTATTTCAATTTGATATCAGTGTAAAAAACATGAGATTTATAAGTACCTGTTATGTTTTCAATTAATCTCAAGTAATTAACTTGAGATATACCAAAAGTTTAATTTCTTCTTCTTTAGTTGGTGGAGTAGACCCAAAATCCTCTTATGGCACAGCAGCGTCGTTCAGCAAAGCTAACACTGAAGCTTTGAAAATAGCAAACAGTTCACTACTTTTCGAGTTTGCCTCGAACGAGATCCTAAATTCTCTAGAGTAAGTTTTTATATAAAAAAAAATAAAAAAAATCAATCATCAAATAACATATTTTTTACAGACACAGAAGAAGAAAGCGTGGTGCCATACGCAACAGAGATGTTTCATTCGCTTTCCAAGACGATTTCGGCGACAAACTCCAAGACGTTGATATAGCATCTCTAATTCCAGCTGAAGCACTTGATCTAGATGATCACTGTGATGATGCTGGACCCTGTGACACTACTACACCTTACAGAACCATGACAGGTCATTGTAACAACTTGAAAAACCCTAAGTGGGGTAAAAGCCTGACTACCTTCAACCGATTATTGCCAAGTGTTTATGAGGATGGTATTTCGAAAATGAGGATGCACGGAGTCACTGGTACCCCGTTACCAAACCCGAGAACCGTATCCAGACTTATCCATCCAGATATTAGTAACCTCCATACTCGTTACTCGCTCCTAGTAATGCAGTTTGCTCAATTCCTTGACCACGATCTTACCATGACACCCATCCACAAAGGTTTCCACGAATCCATACCCAGTTGTAGATCGTGCGACAGTTCAAGAACAATCCATCCAGAATGCAGACCCATTCCTGTGCCACAGGGTGACCATTATTATCCGGACTTCAATTCTACTTCTGGGCAGAAGATATGCTTCCCTTTCATGAGGAGTCTTCCCGGACAGCTTCAGCTTGGACCTAGAGAACAGATCAATCAGAATACTGCATTTTTGGATGCTTCGGTGGTATGTAATGTATTACTAGTTATTTTCCCTTAAAAATATTATTTATTTTAAAGATTTATGGAGAAAATACATGTGTTTTGCACAAACTCAAAGGAGAATTTGGTAGAATGAACTCTACAGAACTGCCTGTAGGTGTTAAAGAATTACTTCCGAGAAATCTCCATCCTGAATGCAAGTCTGGCTCAGGGTTGTGCTTTATTGCAGGTAAAATCAATAAAATATTCTAAATCTAGACTTTTAAAGTATTCTTTCACGTATTTTAGGAGATGGAAGAGCCTCAGAACAACCAGGACTCACAATGATTCACACCGTTTTCCTTAGAGAACACAACAGAATCAGAAACGGTCTCCAGAGAGTGAATCCTCACTGGAACGCAGACAAAATGTTTGAGGAGGCTAGAAGAATCGTTACAGCTAACCTACAGCATATTACATACAACGAATTTTTGCCAAGGATTTTGGGTTGGAACGCCATGAGTTTGTATGGCTTGAAACTACAGAACCAGGGGTACTACAACGAGTACAATCCCAGCTGTAACCCTGCGGTGTTCACAGAATTTGCAGCCGCTGCTTTCAGAATTGGACATTCGTTATTGAGACCGCATATTCCTAGGATGGATAGTAACTATAATATAGTTAGTCCGCCGATATTGCTGAGAGATTCCTTCTTCAAGACTGACTTTATGATGAAAGTAAGTAGCAAAACTAATCTAAACATCAGAATAAGACAGTTATAAGAATCATCAGGATATATCTCAAGTTATTTACATTGAGATTTATTTAAAATACAATACAAATTCGTATTTTGACGGTTTTCATGATATTTACTTTCACATCGATAGAGAATGTATCAGAAACTAATAGTAGAATAAGTAGATATCAAGTTATTTACCTTGAGATTTATTAAAAAATAATACGAATTAATATTTCGACAGTTTTCATGATATCTACTCACAAATGGATTCAGAATCTATCAGAAAGTAATATTAGAATAAGTAGATATCAAGTTATTTACCTTGAAATTTATTAAAAAATAATACGAATTAATATTTCGACAGTTCTCATGATATTTACTCACAAACGGATTCAGAATCTATCAGAATCTAATATTAGAATAAGTAGATCTCATGTTATTTACCTTGAGATTTATTAAAAAATAATACGAATTAATATTTCGACAGTTCTCATGATATTTACTCACAAACATATTCAGAATCTATCAGAAACTAATATTAGAATAAGTAGATATCAAGTTATTTACCTTGAGTTTTATTAAAAAATAATACGAATTAATATTTCGACAGTTCTCATAAAATTTACTCACAAACGGATTCAGAATCTATCAGAAAATAATATTAGACTAAGTAGATCTCAATAAGTTATTTACCTTGAGATTTATTAAAAATAATACGAATTAATATTTCGACAGTTCTCATGATATTTACGCACAAACGGATTCAGAATCTATCAGAAATATTATTAGACAAAGTAGATCTCAAGTTATTTACCTTGAGATTTATTAAAAAATAATACGAATCAATATTTCGACAGTTCTCATGATATTTACTCACAAAGGGATTCAGAATCTATCAGAATCTAATATTAGAATAAGTAGATCTTATGTTATTTTACCTTGAGATTTATTAAAAAATAATACGAATTAATATTTCGACAGTTCTCATGATATTTACTTACAAACGGATTCAGAATCTATCAGAAACAACTATTAGAATAAATAGATCTCAAGTTATTTATATTGAGGTTTATTTAAAATACAATACAAATTCGTATTTTCACGGTTCTCATTATATTTACTTTCAAATCGATAGAGATCTATCTGAAACTAATATTAGAATAAGCAGATCTCAAGTTATTTACCTTGAGATTTATTAAAAAATAATACGTATTAATATTTCGACAGTTCTCATGATATTTACTCACAAACAGATTCAGTATCTATCAGAAACTAATATTAGAATAAGTAGATCTCAAGTTATTTACCTTCAGATTTATTAAAAAAACAATACGACTTAATATTTCGACAGTTCTCATGATATTTACCTACAAGCGGGTCCAGAATCTACCAGAAACTAATATTATAATAGGTAGATCTCAAGTTATTAACTCTGAGATTCATAAAAAATATAACAGACACTAATGTATCTCAAGTTATTTACTTTGAGACTGATTAAAATCTAATATAAATTAAACTTTTAATATATCTCAAGATATTTACACAAAACACAAACTAATCTTGTGATAATCCTCATAATTATGATTCACCAATTCTTATAACATTATTTATTAAAATTATTTTAAACGTGCGAGTTTTTAATACTATTTCTACACCAGTCAATTTCAATTTTAGCCTGGACTAATAGATGACATTGCCAGAGGAATCGTTTCCACACCAATGGAAAGCTTGGATCAGTTCATCACTGGAGAAGTGACCAACCACTTGTTCGAAGATCACAAGATCCCATTTTCTGGTATAGATCTTATAGCTTTGAACGTGCAAAGAGCTAGAGATCACGGTGAGTCAAATATATTTCCTTAAAAATATATTTAATATAAAAAACTTGTTTCTTATAGCTATACCATCTTACAACAGCTACAGAGCGTTGTGTAACCTAAAAAGAGCGACATCTTTCGAGGATTTGTCTAGGGAAATACCGCCAGAAACCATACAAAGACTGAAAAGTATTTACGCTACTGTGGATGACATTGATTTGTTCCCTGGAGGTATGAGTGAACGTCCTTTGCAGGGAGGTCTCGTCGGACCTACCTTCGGTTGTATCATAGCCCTTCAGTTCAGACATTCAAGAAAATGCGACAGATTTTGGTTAGTATTGAAATCTGAGCGTTGAATTATTTTTTATTGTGTTTTTCGTTGAAGGTACGAGAGTGGTGATCCTGTGGTGAGATTCACCGAGCCCCAACTCGCCGAGCTGCGCAAAGTTACTATGGCTAAGACGATATGCGACAACATTGATGGAAACAGCGATATGCAAAGATCTGCCTTCGATTTACCTTCAAATTTCTTGAACCCAAGGTAAGAAAACGTATAAAAAGTTTCGTAACGTAAAAAATATCTGATTTTGACAGAGAAAACCTGAAGAAAAACAAAAAGCATAGTCTACTTTTGAAGTAAAATGATCTGGTCAAACTATATCTGTCTAAAGTTTAATTTACACTAGATTTTTATTCAGTCTCAAAGTAAATAACTTGAGATCTATTACTTTTTTGCACAAATTTAAATTAAATAACTTGAGATCTACTAAGAGTTTAATTTTGTATTAGATTTTCTTTAAATTTCGAAGTAAATAACTTGAGATTCATTTAAATACCTTTTTTCAGAACCCCGTTCATGGAATTTCAAAGTAAATGACATGAGATCTATCAATTTTATTTTCAATCTCTGTTAAATTCTGTATCAGTTTCTATGTAAATAACATATGAGAATTATCATACTATCTAGTTGTGTTAATTTTTCAATAAATCTCAAGATCTCAAGTAAATAACTTGAGATCTACCTATTTTAATATTAGTTTCTGATAGACTGTGAATCAATTTGAAAGTAAATATCATAATAACTATCAAAATATAAATTTCTACTGTATTTTTAATATATCTCAAAGTAAAACAACTTGAGATCTGTATGATTTATGAGTTGATTTTAAATTTTGTATCAGAGTTTCTGTTAAAATTCTGAATCAGTTTCTAAGTAAATAACATGAGAATTATCACACAATATCTAGCTGTGTTAAGTTTTAAATGAATCTCAAAGTAAATAACTTGAGATCTACCTATTCTAAATACTAGTTTCTGATCGATTCTGAATCAATGAGAGCTATCAAAATATAAATGTGTATTGTATTTTTAATAAATCTCAAAGTGAAATAACTTGAGATCTATTAGAGATTATTTTACGAGCTTTGTTAGATTTTTAATTTCTAGAAAAATAACATGAGAAGGTTTGTGATGTTTTCACATTAATAAATTTCAAAGTAAATAACCTGACCTCAGCTTAATTTTGATTTCAAAATATCACGTAGCATTTAAGAGTCTCAAAGTAAATAACTTGAGATCTACCCATTGTAATTTTGTTTCCTGTTTAATTCTGAATGAATTTCTAAATAAAAAACATGAGATCTAACAAAATACTTATTTGTGTCGTATTTCCAAATGAATCTCAAGGTAAATATCTTGAGATTACGATTTTTCTCAGTCAATTATTAAGGAACTAACTGAAAAAAAAAATCTTTTTTTGGTATTTCCAATGAATCTCAATGTAAATAACTTGAGATCTACATACATGTAATATTTCAGAGTACCATGCAGCGCACATCCAAATATAGATTTCAACGCTTGGCGTGAGAGTGCCCCTGGAAAAGGCTGTTTCATTGGTGGACGTCACGCTCGCGTTGGAGAAAGTGTGTTCCCTAGTCCTTGCACTAGCTGTATTTGTAATGCTGAAGGAGTAAGTATTATACATGAAAATTTAGGGTTAAAATATAGTCAAATAACTGTATATTTTCGTTTTTTAGGGTACCTGTGCCTCCCTGAAAGTAACCAATTGCAACCAACTCCTCAAAGAATGGTCGAGAGAAGACGTTCTCAGAGACGACGTGTGCACCGCTCAGTGCGGCCACCTGTTGCAAAATGGCGGATCTAGGGGATTTCCTTCCGGTCCTCAAAAGCAACACGGTCTGAGAGGTGTGGAACCTGTGGGTTTCGACTTTTTCGGTACCATACCCAACCTAAGTCCTTTCATTGCTAAGAAATAATGATTTCTTCAAGCTTTAATTACTTGTAATACTATTTTATCGTAAATTTTTAAGTAAACGTTACTCCTAGTTAATGAAGGTTTATATAGAGAGTACAGTGTGATTGAATAAAATACGACATCTTGAAAAGTGTAAAAATAGCATTTGAGTTGAAGTTCTACTTTGTGTCATTCAGTGATCTAGTAAAACTGGAACTGAGATGTTAGTACCACGCGTAATATAATCACACCCTGTATATTGTACAAAAAAGTTTGAAACTTAAAGAATCACTGCCCTGTTGCCAGTTTTTGTTCAAAATCTTATTTTTTGTATATAAAGTAACATTTGGTAAGATTTTCGTATCTTTCAATAAAGATATGCTAATGTTAAGAACTTATAAAATTATATATTTTTTTACATTTTAGGATAAGATAAAAATAAAGATAGTAGAGTAAGTATGTTTTATTATAACTGTGATTTGTACTTTTTAAATGGAATGTACCTACTGAACGTATCTTGTATTATAGTTGTATTATTATTGTAATAAATTATTTCCAAATACGAGAAAAAAATCAATTTTGTATAAGTTTAAAAATTATTTATTCATATATACACTTAATATAATAATAATAATCATACATATACATACATTTCATAAATAAAACTTATATTATTATAACAGATATATAAAATTGGTTAAAAAATAATTTAAATACTTTTTTCTGTCATAAATGTTTCTTTAACGCATACTCTGTCCCACTGGATACATAATCGTAAGATAATGAGGGAGTAGTGGGTTCTATCACAGAAACTAGAGACAAAAAAATAAATTAGTTTTAATACTATTTTATTTAAAAAATATTATAACAACTTACTTGAAGAAGATGGCTGATATATAAAGCTAGAACTAGATGCAGCTATAACAAAAAAATATTTATACTTTATTGTAAAATGGTTACTTTATAGATATTTTGATTTTACCTCGTATAATATCACCGCTTTCTGGATTTTTTAAATTCGGTGGATGCAGCTCAGGATTAATGCTTTTATCGTTGAATTTATGAAGATATTCTGGAAAAATAATTATTATTAGTAATTTTTAAGACAAATTACATTAAATAAATAGAAAAATCTAAACAATGTGTTGCACGATTTTGTAAATTACAGCAGATCTAAGGAAAAACATTTACCTCCATCGGTTATTTTTGAAATCAAAAAATAGTAAAACTCTTTATCTTTGGCACTCCACTTGAGTATCTCCCTGTATTGAGCCACGGTATCCTTTTGGGCGTTGGCCTTTGCCCGTAAAATATACACCAAAGCACTAGAAAAAAACATTTTATTCACGCAAAAAATTATTTTTTAACTCATATTACCCTAAAGCGATAATAATAAGAGCTATAACTCCAGGTTTTGTAATGTAGAGTAAAATACTCCACAAGGTGCTGTTTGATTTGAGATTTAAAATACCATGAGTTATTACATCGATAAAGTAAACATAGTTCCTAAAGGGTCCACACGAACTAGATAAGGGAACACTAAAATATTGAGTTAAATAAGTAAAAAAAAATATACTGATTATATTGGTTAGGAACATTGAATAAAAATACTAAAAAAGAAGCACATAAAAATAACAGCTAGAAATAACATAAAATATAGTCAAAAATTCAAATATATCAAGTAAAAAACCAAATAAAACCGACAAAAGTCTTTTTATTCAATGGTTAGGGGACTCACTACGATATGACATAACCTAGAAATCCTCCGACCAATAAGAAGCTCAAGAACGTCATGACTAAGAACCAGGTTGTTGTTTGGGCAGCCCTCCATGTTTTTGAAGAAGGTTTGCACAAACACAAAACCCCAAACTGTCGGATATACCATATTAAAAACAGTTTGATCACTATGACCACTGGTAGCAATGGAACAAAGACTAGACCCACCCAGAATAAGGTCTGGTTGTAGATTATTTGCATGGTGTTCCATGCTATGTCGAATTCCAAGTTAAATGTATCGGTTAACCTAAAAAATAAAAGTCCCACTTCTGAATATCAAAGAAATAATCTACTTTCAATTTTGATATCAAATAAAGCATTTATTTATTCATTATGTCGTTAGTCGTTAAAAAATAAGTCAGATAATATAAAAAAATTAATAATCAAACACTATAAAGATTCATATCTCCGATATTTGTGTACAGGGTGTCCCATTTAAAAAAATATATAAGTTTGAGTCATATTTCGAAAATGACTGCTCTCAGCAAAAAACTAGTTACGCCACTGAAATCTATGTGAAAAACTCTACAGGGATGATTCTTCATCTTTTCAATGAATTATAAGATAACCGAGATACGAGGGAAATCAAAAAATACATTAATTTCAAATTCGCCCTGTATTTCAGGAACTAAGATGGCTAGAATAAATCTGTGTTTAACATCTTTAGTTTCATAAAAAAGTAGCAGAATAATGTGAAAACCGCATCTCTGTATCTCTATCATAAACGAGAAACTCTGCAGAACACACGAAAATGGGACACCCTGTATACTGTAAGTACATTTTACATACAGTTTGTTTTGTGAATCACGAAAAAATGTCAAATAGAAAAGTTTTAGAGAATGGTAAGATACGCAATTCAAAATTATTTTTGAGTATACAGGGTGCATCAGAAAAGTGTGTCAATTATAACAGTTGTTTTTTTTTAAATGTAACACCATATTTTTTATGTTATTTTTTGATTCTGCGTAAAATTCTATAACTTTTTTTAAATATAATGTTATGTTCGTAAAATTTGTAGTTTTTATAATATTTTAATTTATTAAAAAAAATGTCAGAGTGTGGCAAAAAACTGTCGGTAACGCTAGTGTTTCTAAAGTAAGTACTAAAATTTGGAGTTTTATAGAAATGATAAAAAAATATATATAAATATATTGAGTTAAATGCTACAGGGTGTCCAAAATAAATTTATGAATTTCAACTATATTAAATTAAAAAATCTAAAATAATAAATAATCAAAAAAATAAAAGAAAACAAATAAATTAACGATCTTTATCTATAGAAAGTATATGATTTTTACCTGTTCTTCTCTTACCTGTAAATACCATAAAGAATACAATCAAACAATGCAGCAAAAATGACGGAAATAATAAAATCAAACAAAATCATCCTGTATAGTTCTTGACCTAAAGATGTTTCCCAACATTCTGACCTATCCTAAATTTTAAAAAAACGAATCAATTTTTCAAGATCGTTTCCATTTTCAAATAGAACCAATACAAAATATGCAACCATCATTACTTTTAATCCTAAGAAAACCAGTTCGACGCCTTTTTTTTTGGATCATACTGTACTAGGACTAAATGTAATTATAGTTGCCTATCTTACTACACCATTACTAACCAAGAAAATTATATATTTTACCTTATCATTACTCAACCAAAAGACACATAGGACACCTACAGTGATCCCTCCCAAAACAAAAGTCCTTAGAAGAGTCACAAGCAACGCCCACTTTGGGTTTTTATAATCCTCATATCTATGACAAATACAGATAAAAATATTAAATTTTTGTATAAACATCATTCACCAAAAATCTTACTTGATCATAAAACTGAACAGCATTGGCATCACTGTCATAACAAGATTAATGAAAACGGGAGCCACAATGATTCTGGTACCTCTTTCTAAAGGTACTGCATCCAAAAACAACCAAATTGCATAGCCTGTACCCAACATTATACCCAGAACTATGACATTCATGAAGAATTGTATAATTCTAGTAATTGATTTCTCGTAAAATGTCAATTTTCTGTATCTCCAAGCAACATCATTGATCAATTCCTATAAAAGCCCTTTTTTTAATCTAAAAACGGTTATTAAATTATAAAAAACAACCTTAAGTTCATGGTAAATAGCTTTGGACTTCAATTCGGCCGCATTTCTTGTCGCTATGTTATAATCCCAACCGCAAAAAACCTTATTAGCGAAAACGTTCTTTAACCCACCCTCAGTCTCGATAAAACTTCTTCTATAAGACTTTGCAGCACTAAAAAAAAACAAATAAAAAAACAAATAATTAACTAACTAAATCTAACACTAACAATAATAACAAGACAAAACAAACAAAAATAAAATCAAAAACAAACCTGACACCGAGAACAAAAAAAGAAACAAAATATATGGCTGCCATTGAGAAAAAATATGCGTTAGTAATACTGTAAGTAAGTGTGCCTAGGGTAGATATAGAATTGAAAGTGTAAAAACCATAATACATTACAGTGTTTGTTAGATACCCCTACAAAAAATAAATAAAAAACCAAAAAAAAAATACTACTTAAAAAAATACATACCTCTCCAGTGAATAAATCCCATATTATGGTACTATTAGCAGGTTGATGGGTACCTTCTCCGGACACTAGAACTGGTATTACTATGAATGAAAACGCTATAATTGCTATAATAGCGTTCAACAAAAATAACCAGCGTAACAGTTTAAAATATGAAGCCACTCCTGTTCCAAAATTTCCCTCAATTTTTTTTAGAGGACTGTACCAAAGTTCAAAAGAATAGGCCAAGTCCCTTATGTCAAGTTTAAGCTTAAAGAAAAAAATACAATAATAATAGCCCCATACTATACAGAGTGAATCGTACCTTAGTAATAGCCATACTGGTTCTGTATTTGAACATTTTGTAGCAACTCAGCGTTTTTTTCTTTGATTTCTTACTAACAGACTTGGATAATTTAACTTTTACCTTTCGTTTCACTGTTAAACACTGCGGCATGTCTCTTAAAGCTGTCCTAAAATTTTAAATATCATTTAAATAAATAAAACAAACATAGAAAATTATTAATTATACCTTCTTAATTCCTCTGCACTTGGTGAATCTTCCATCAAAGACTCATCACGTTCCATTTTTGAAACAATAAGATTTGCATGCTTATCCAGAGATATATCTAGATAAAAAATATATAGTAACCTCTCTTAAAAATTAAATTATAACTCTAACCATTATTTCCTGGCCTCCCCAAAGTCCTAGCTCCTGTTCCGCCAATTCTAGCTTCAAAAGCCCTTTGTAAATTACCTCCATGCTGGTGATTTAAGTTATCAAGCCGATGGATCGAATGGTATCCTCCTATATAACCATCGTTACTCTGATTAACAGATCCATAGAACTCTGTTTCACTGTATCGATTAATTTCCGGAGTTTGAATGGAAGAAGTTGATGGAATATTTGATAAATCTTCGTGAGACATGCTGGACAGTCTTTGATTATCAAAAGCTGCCTTCAATCCGCCTCCTGATGGTTTTGGCGGTGCATTGTAGGGTTGGAAGGTATCAGGGCCCAAAGAAGGCCTCTGGAAATACCTGTTAAACGAAAAAAATCAAACATTAACGGTACGGTTTTGTTTAAAACGGATAAAAGAGTTTGGGAAAACCTACCCCGACATATTTTAGTGATCTTTACTCACAATCTATAAAGGTATTTAGTTAAAGTGTAATTAAAAGGTAATAATATCGAAAATTTATCTTATCTCGAGTTTTACTCACCTCTGTTTAGTTATAGATTAAATTATATTAATTAATAAAAGTAAAATAATAAAAACACAATAACAAGAATGTTTGTTTTTGACACTGACAGCTGCTGACTAGAGGTGGGTTGTGAAATCGCAGTCCGCTACTTTGTCACAGCTCCACCAACGTCGCAGTATGTGACTGCTCCAGTTCCAAGAAAATCGCAGTGACATTTCGGAGCAGTTTACAAGTTTAGGACATCTGCGCTCGTGAGTAGCAATAGGAGCAATAGCAGGCAATAGTGTAAATTCTGAAAATGCTCCTAGCCCCGTCGCCCGGTCAGACTGTTCCAGTCACAGTCGTCGCAGGTCGCAGTCGACTGGAGCATAGTATATTGAGTATATTCTGTGTACTGGAGCTGTTGGGAGTTTGGGAACGGGAAACGTAGCAGCGTTCGCTTTTTCTTTCATGAATCTAAATAAGATATTTATGTATTATATATTAATCACAAACAGATGTTTTTGACAAAGGTAATTTTTAACTTGTTAGTATGTTTATTTGTTAGTTAATTTTGTATCTGTGTTTTGTTGTATATCCTAAATCTTTTATTTGATCTTATACATTCATATAAGTTTTATTATTTATATCTATTTTTAAGGTCTGATGATGGCTAAATAGCCGAAACCGGTCACTAATAAAGATTTTTTTGACAGTTTCGACTTTGAATTGAATATAACATTAAGTTTTTACCATGGGCCACCACTCTGTGAAAATGAACAGACTCTTTAAGATATTTATAGCAAAGTGCTTGGTACTTAGAAACACTCAAATTCTTCTGAATAGACTAAAAAAATATAGCAACATCTATCAAACTAAGACATCAGTATAGTACCGTACAGCCGCGATTTTAAGAGCTCTAGGGGCCCGTAGTTCGGAAAAGTTCGAATCTTGTTCGCAAGGGCCCGGGAGGCTTGGGGCCCGTCGGTGACTTACCCCGATTGCACAGACGTTAAAATCGCCACTACTGATCGAAATAAAAAACGGCGTCCAGTTGGCTTGGAAATGACAATCGATAACATTCCCCATAAATTTTACATATAAAATGCCAGCAATCTTCATTTCATAGCTATCGCTGACGCCGTTTTTTTCGATCATACGATATAAATAAATAAAAACTAGACGATGATGTTGCCTATCATAATCACACCTATAGTCCTGTACTTTTTTAGTAAATGCAACGAACGGTGCCGAACAGCCGAACACCGAGTGCGATTTTTCGGAGCAATTAACCTATAAAACTACATATTTAATTTATAGGTTAATTGCTCCGAAAAATCGCTGCTACTTGTCGCAGTGCTTTTATTGGAGCAGTCGCAGAGCGTAGCAGCTCCACAAAAATCGCAGACTGGCCCACCTCTACTGCTGACAGCTCTGACAGCTGATTCAACTTCTTTCAATTTTCAGGATTTCGGTATTGCAATTTTTGGCAATATTAAATATCTTAGAATCGTTTTATTATAGCGGGAATAATCAAAATTATTTTTAATTTCTATGATTCTGGAAGTTCTTCAAAGTATCTTAACGTTTTTGTTTTTATTTAAATATAAAAAATGTATATTTCAATTTTTAGGATTTCGACGAACTGAAAAGTATGAAAGTTTGTCAAATGAGTTCGGAAAGTGTCCGCAAGATGTCGTCCTTGACGTTTGGTAAATTTGCCATCATTTCACGTGTTTACTAACACAGTTTGCCAAGTATACCGATCGAGCTGTTATGAAATCGTGCAAGAAACAACATACACAGATCCCGTCGATTCCTGCACAGGTGCCTCCCACGTTTTCGGCAATTTGCAGGTAAACAGTGAACCCTTTCGGCGTGCTTCGGCCAGCTAGGCTAGACTCGATTCGAAAGAGCAACGTCTATCATGTCGGTGCACTCGGCCCAGACGTCCGAGAGCGACGCATGGGCTCTATTATCGCTAAAATCGGCGCCCGCGAGCCCCTCGAAGCTCCAGTGGAGCCCCGAGGACCGGGGCGAAGTCATAGCGCGCATCGAGGCGAAAGAGTTCGAGTACCTCGTCCGCCAGAACAGAATAGTCATCGGGAGGAACAGTTCACGTGGTGATGTCGATGTAAATATGGGACATTCTAGCTTTATTTCGCGTAGACATTTGGAAGTGTTCTTCGACCACCCGTTCTTCTACATGAGCTGCAACGGCAAGAACGGAGTTTTTATCGACGGGGTGTTTCAGAGAAAAGGAGCCCCCTCGATCAGGTTACCCAAGACGTAAGTTCTTAGGTCTTATTATGTAAACAAACCTAAATGTTTTCCTTGCATATTTAGATAAGGAGAGAGCCTTGAGAGTTTGAGAGGTTAATTTAGCATGCTTTCGATCACGTGTTTGCCGAGTAGGTCTCTGTGTGTATATATGTTTTTTTTTTAATCTCCCATACTCTCTATTATTTACTGTCGAATCAATAATGAGACACACACAAGGTCTCATTTATAAATACATTTTGAAGTATTTATTGAGCCGATGACGTCAGTGGAATTGTGTGAATGCGTGTCGGGCGAGAATGAACCTTGTGCAACGACTTGACAAGGATCGAATTTCTGTGCCGGCTGCGAGAGTAAAAACAAATCATCGGTCCAAATATTGACGAAAAAACTTTGTATATTTCGCACCCATTTAACACGTGGTGTTTTAATCTTTTTGAACTATGAAAAAAACGAAAATTTTTCATCAAAAATACTCTTACTAGGGTAGGAAACAAGAGAAAATATATTCGAGTTTGCCTTGTTGCTATGCGCCTCGTTTTCGGCGGTATCTGACGTATTTAGATGTCAAAAAAAGAAAAAAGAATGACGAACTTCCTGTCAGGTTTTGACAACAGAAAACTGTACTTTTGTTTACTTTCTTTAAACATGCGGTATCGGGATTTTTCTGAAATGAATGTGCGTGATTTCAAAACAACGTGGCTTTTGTTTATTAATTTTTTTTCATTAAAAAAAACATGAAATTCCTTTAAAAAATAACTTTAGCCTCATTTTGATAACAGAAAATTCTGTTTTTGTTTACTCCCTGTAAATATGCGGTTTATGATTGTTTTCTGGTCGTTGCCATTGCTAAAATAAATTTGCGTCATTCAAAACAAGACGGCTTTGTTTGTTGACATTTTTTTTGTTAAAAAAATACCGACATTGGTTAGTAAAAATAATAAATCGCAAATTCTAACTAATTTTTTTGAACTTTGTATCTGTACTGATGGAAAAAACCTAAATATTTACATGCCTGTAATAGATTTGACTAGTTTAGATGCAACTTCGAGATTGTGAATCGCCTTGAATGTATGAATTCCCGTTCTTTTTCCAGGTTAATGTAAATTTAAGTGTAAAATCGATGAATGCGGAGTTATTAATACCAAATGTTTGAAAAATTCACAGAAAGATACGCAAAAAGTTATTTCGATTCAAGGCTTTTTCCCTGATTATTTTCGTAATGAATCTTTTAATTTTAGACGTATACGCGAATCGATATTTTGGATCCGTACGGATATCTGTTTGAATTAGGGATGGGTAAAATTATCGATTTTTTTAATATCGATATAGTGTGTCAAGAATATTGGACACGTAGGTATAGAAAAAAAAACGGTGAAAGTTGGCTTGCGCGTCATCAAAATAATTGATTAACGCACGTCACAATGTTGCCACGGCTACTTTTTTTACTTTGACCGTTACTTACTTCCCTATAAATATCGTAATATAATCAAACATCGAATATCCACAAAACCGTTAAACGTTTTGAAATGCTTTAAATACAAAAAATGTTCATTTTTTAATTCTCCATCTAACAAAGGAATAATATACAGGATGTTCCATTAAAAAATCCGAAGACCAACTGTTTTATATATTAGAAAGTTTGGCATTTAATTTTGAACACCCTGTATGGTTTAAGATTACGATACATTTATAGGAAAGTAAGTATAGACCAACCATAGTAAATACCTAGTATAGTTTTGATTTCAGGACACTTCTTATTTTTTTAATAATTTTTTTTAAAGGCTGAAAATTATATTTTTTTATTTATTTGTTAATATCTCCGAAACTATCAAAATCTATTTAATAATATCTTAGGATCATGTAAAGTGATCGGAAAGGAAACCAGAAATGCAATAATATACAGGGGGTTCCCTAAAAAAATTATCCCGATTCACTCACACTTTTTTGAGCCACCCTGTAGAAGTTAAAGTATTTTTTCTGGAGTACATTCTAATACATACTTTAGGTTTGCACTTAAACAAAATTCCTAAGTTTTTTTATTGTAAGTAGATGTGATATTTACGGTCACATATATCGATATATTTTCTTTAAATTGTACATCCCTGTTTTGATTTTTTCTCGATAATATAGAGGTTTTCATGTACACGTCACCAACATAAATATAAACATAAACAAAACGAGGAACGGTTAACCTTTAAATCGTTGTTGCTTGTTCGAAAGTACGTTTGATTGACCTTTGTTTAGCCAGCTTTGTTATTAACAATTAATGCTGTTTGAATATCATACGCAAAACGTTTAATCAAGTCAAACGAATTTGACATTTTTTGAAAAATGCAATTCATTTTGCCTGTGATTAATAAAAAAAATATTAATATCTCTGACACACACATGGTACTTAATACAAATCTATTAAATTGTTTAAATAAAAAAACACTTGATTAATCTATAAAAATCGTAAATATTTTGTTTTAAAAACTATTTAAATGCCTTTTGGACTTTGTTTTAGAAGCTTGAGTATATTTTATTGGTTTCTGGTCTAGAGATTTTATTTTATAGTATTTACTGGTGATTATTTAAATGTTTGTAAACAAATAATAAAGAGACTGCTTTACATTTTAATGAATAATAAACGCAGTGGTTAGATGTTTTGTTTACAAGTTGTACCAGTAATGATTGTGTGATATTATTTACGATGTTTTTCAGAATAAAATAGTCTAAAAATTCTTAGTTAGAGTGTAAAATAATGAGAATTAATGTAGCTAAATTTTAAACTGGGTTAGACTAGCTTTGGAATGAATAAATTAAGAATTTTTGGCCTGGGCTTGTGTATACAGATGCACGAATGAGGAAATACATTGTTAGTGGATCAATTTGACCTAAATTTTTATATTTGTTTATATATTACTGTTGTTTATAATATTTTTTGATGTATTCAGTGCTGAAGTATATGTTTATTTGGTTTAGAAAAATATTATGTTTAAAAATCAACGTTTTCTTTATTAAGTGTTGTATAAAATAGTATGCAGCAAGTATATTTTCACATTTTTAATCCTACACAACTATTTAACATAATTATTTTCAGTTAATGACAATACAAACAGTTAGACTACAATAGATAGGTACACTAGAACAACTTTCTCCGCCTTACTATTATAAACATTATAAAAAAAACGTTAAAACCTGTTTAAATTATGCTAGGTACATGATTCATTTAAAATGTCTTTCGATCGAGAAGTAATAGAAAATTTCTTATACCTTTATACACAACAAAATAAGACGGTAAAAAGCATATTTAAATTTTCAGATTTCATTTTTTCTTCAAAAAATTTTGATCCAAAAAACCTTACATTTTGGAGTGAAAATCTCAAATAGAAAGCTTGTTATGGCGATTTTTTGGGACACCCTGTATACCGGGTAGTCCGAACTGTATTCTGGAAACTTCGGCAGCATATTCTGCAGATAAAAATAAGTAAAAAAAGTTCGTATAAATGTATGTTTTAAAATGCTTATGTATATTCGATTCTTAATAGCCCGAAAACCACCCGTTTTACCTTGAGAAATCGAACTTTTCCCTACACAAAAAAACCATTCTACCCGCCTATAAGCGGGGGAAAAGCGGAAAATTGGCCCTTTTCGCATTTTCCGCTGTTGCCGGGCGGCGACGACCTGAAAATAGGGCCAAGAACCAACAGTGTCCGCGTGTGTGAGTGCGGGATTGATCCTGCCGGCGGCGACCTTGAACCTGCGTCCTCAGGGTCGTCGCGACCAGTTGAATTTCCAGGGTCTCCGTGTCTATATGCCCGAATTTTCCTTCCTTCCGGGAGCTTCGATTTTCCTTCGAGTTTCCTCGAATTACCTATTTCTAATTACCTATTTCCTCGAATTACCTATTTCTCGAAATACCCTATTTCCTCAACACGCTGCGTTGAATAATGCGGACTCGCATCTCTCTTATCGATTCAATTGTATTTCAGGTCTTTTTATGAAGTTTTAGTGACTTTAATTCGATTTAATCTAAACCAAACCAAACGATTTAATAATATCGTAAAATTGTTTTTAATTATTCCTCGATTTATTTGCAGAGATGTTTTAAAAAAATGCCTAATAATCATTTTATTATTTTTTCAGTTTATACAGGGCGGTCCAAACTGGTATTCCGGAAACTTTGGCAGCATATTCTGCAGATAGAAATATGTAAAAAAGTTCGTATAAATGCAGGGTTGGCATGATATATATCAATGATATATATCGGATATATATCATTGATATATATTCATTTTCATTTTTTTTTCATTCATATTCACATATCATTTTTATTTCGATTTTTTCCAAATAATTTCTGAAGTAACGTCAATATTTGAAAGAAAATTGGTTTCTGGGAGTTTTTTGACATGATAAATTTGATTTTGATGTCAATATGTCTTCTATTTGTAGGGGGCGCCACCTACATGTATTTTAATCTTTTTTGAAGAGTAATAACTTTTCGTCCCTACCCGTATAAAACTACTGAGTGAAAAATATACATTTCGCTACGGGCAACCGTTCTCTAGATATTTAGAATAGGAACAGTCAGTTTAGAATAGGAATGTCATTATTGAAAAAACAACATGTTGAGTAGATAGTTATTTGACTAAAATAATAAATTTGGGAACTTTTTATTTTTTTAAATTAATCATAAATTTTTCGAAGAAAAAATGATGATAAAACAGTTTCTGTTGAACTTTTGGCACGAATACATTTCAAATTTATGATTTCTATCTGCTTATTTTTATCTGCAGAATATGCTACCGAAGTTTTGGGAATACAGTTCGGACCATCCTGTATAAGTTAATGTTATTAAATGTTAAAATCCGATGTCTCATTTCCGAGATATCATTAATATTTTTTCGAAAAATCCCAAGAACAATAATGTGGCACAATAGTCCAAAAATGTTATCCTCTCTCACATTGGTAACATCCTGTACAAAGGGAGATAGAAATAATAATTTGGTTTAAAAAAATTGTACTAAAAATGTTGCTGGGTCTAAAATCCAAAGACACATTTTTAACTGGATATACACTGACACTTACAGAATTTAGAAACAAAATTAGAATAAAAACTCCATCAACTGACTGTTTTACTTGTTTTAATTTTCTGAAATGTCTCTTTCCAGTTGTACGATCCGGTTCCCCAGTACCAACATCCGCTTGTGCTTCCAATCGCTAGTCGACGACGGCTTGGATTCGGCCGCTCCCAACGTGCGCGAGGTGTCGCCCTCGCGCATCAGGGAGCGCGCAGGCGGAGGAGGACGCGCGGAGGCCACTCTACCCCCTCTGCGCATCAACATACCGGAAGGCGAGTTCGGCAGTCCGTTTCCCTCGCCTACCGGTACTTTGAGTGCCGCCAACAGTTGTCCTGCTAGCCCAAGAGGTACGGTATAAGATTTATATAGTTTGATTATGAACGTTGTGATTGGGATTATTTTTGATATTTTTTCCTAGGTGGTCAGCATGGTAGTGTCAGTCACGGCAAGAGGAACGTCCACGCCGATCTGCAAATGGTGGCAGCGTATGCCGCGGCTCAAGTGGCTCACCGAGACGACAATAACAGTCAGCACGTTCAGCAGAATCACAGTCCGGAGTACAGGCATAGTACTTCCAATGGTAATTCGGTGAGTTTCATGATTTTTAACAGTTTTGAATACAGTAGTTCAAATGTACCGACGTCGTACACGTAAGTAGTTCATATGTACAACAGTGTAGTTTTAACACCGCCGTAATTCCATCGGTTTTTATTACTGTAGTTCAAATGTACTCAAACAACATAAATAGTTCAAATATACAGCACTGTAATTTTAACGCGTTTGTAGTTTCCTGGATTTTTACTACTGTAGTTCAAATACACACAACAGTTTGTCAGTAGGTCAATTGTTTTACTTAGTTACTGTGATTATTCGTAGAAAGTATATTGTCTCTTCAATATGCAAGTAAATATTTTATCATCACATTTGTGTGTATTTTTAAAATTGTTGCTTTATATTTTACCATCAGTAGCCTAAATGAGACTTCATATTACGTTTTTCTGGTTGACGTCCTCGTTTTATGATTATTTAATTTTCTATCTAAATAATTTTGTCGTGTGTCATTTTTTTCAAACCGGGACTGTCTGGAAATTTGCCACTTTGAACTAGTGTTAAATTAGTTTAAGTACCATTAGGAATTGGTTAGATTAAAATAAAATGCATAATTAAAAAATTAAAAATACCACGATAATTTTCTTGTTTATTTATTTATTTTTATCAAACTATTATTAGTTCAAATTATAAAAAATAATGTAGAACAGAAAAAGTGTAAAATTTAATATTTAATATTAAATTTAAAAATCTGTAAATTGTACATTTAAATTGTTGATAAAATTTTACAATTATGCTTATTTTTGTCACAAGAAATAATTAATAAAATTAGGAAAAATGAGCAGATCTATTGTATTGTTTGATACAATTATCAAATTTTTTTTACATCGTGCAACTTTGCAAAAAACTTGTATTAGTGTTTTATTATCTTCATAATAACCCCTTTTTACCTTATCTTCGCGTAAAATAGTTCTAACGTACTGTCAGCTGCTTTAAGGTATAAATTAACTACTTGACTTGCTTTAGGCGCCCTCTGTGGTCATCAACGACGGCAACTACGCCGGCGGAGGAGGAGGCGGCAGCAAGGACGACTCCAAGCCGCCATTTTCCTACGCCCAGCTGATAGTGCAGGCCATAGCCAGCGCCCAGGACAAGCAACTCACCCTCTCAGGAATATACAGTTACATTACCAAACACTACCCCTACTATAGGACGGCGGACAAGGGTTGGCAGAACTCTATCAGACATAACCTCAGTCTCAATAGGTATTTTATTAAGGTATGTCACTTTGTAGCCATCTTGTAAAACCGTTTTATCAAAATAATTTTTATTTTTTTTAGGTCCCCAGAAGTCAGGAAGAACCTGGAAAAGGGTCGTTCTGGAGAATAGACCCTTTGTCCGAATCCAAGCTCATCGAACAGGCATTTAGACGCAGGCGGCAACGTGGCGTGTCATGTTTTAGAGCTCCATTTGGATTAAGTTCCAGGTAAGACAGTTTTTAATATGAGTAGTTCAAATGCACCGATCCATGCAATACGGGTAGTTCAAATGTACTAAGTGCTATACGAGTAGTTCAACGGTGTCGAGCAATTTAATACGAGTAGTTCATATGTGCCATGTATTTTTTCGTTTAAAGGAGCGCGCCAGCGTCACCCTCGCATCTGGGCATGTCCGACGTGATGACGCCCGAGTCTTTGTCGCGCGAAGGTTCGCCGACCATGGAGCACCCGATGGACGCCAGTCAATCGGCGCCGGGTAGTCCTGGTCCCGCCTCGGCCAGGGCGGGTAGCGGTACCATGATCGGACACCAGCAGATGTCGGCGCTGGTGGGAGCGTCCAAGGCGCGCCTACTTTTGCCGCAGCATCATCAGGAACAGTACCTGAACCAGCAACAACAACAGATCGGCGAGAGGCCGGCTTCTAACGGAGAAGAGTACGAAGGTGAGAAAATAAATAGATAGTTTAAATGTACAATCTTTATTTCTTGCTGTATCGCCTTTTAAAGTTTTTTTTTATGTCGGGATTAGATTGTTATAATAGGGATATCAATGAAAATACAGAGTAGTTCAAATGTACTATTTGAATTTTTTGGTTTAAAAGACGTAAAATTTAATTTCCGTTAGTTTAGGATATTTGAAGGGAAATAATAGTAAAAACGAACAGTAGTTCAAGTGTACAATGTTGATTTTTATTTAAAACGTTTTGAAAAATTGCTAGTAGTTCAAATACATCATGGTTATATTTCTGTGTAAAACGATTTATATACGTCTTTTAGTTAAGTTTTAGCTTCCTAGAAGTTGATTATAGATAAAAACAGACAGTAGTTCAAATTTTTTTCTTAAATATCATACCCTATAGACTAGTTTATAACTTTAAACTAACGTTAAAGGTTTTATTCAATTTTAAAACATATCCCAGGTTATCAGAATGTGATTAAATTCATTGATGGTATTCGATAACCTTATTTTTCCTAAGAGGACGCAAATTTGACCAAACAAACACATAAAATGAATCTGAATCGTTTCGATTTGTAATTAACTTAGAAGATAACAAATGCAATCTAAAAATAACGAAATACTATGTTAAGATTACTAGTGTGTCGCTCGGGTAAGTTTCATTATTTCATTATTCTCCTGTTTATTCGCACTTGGCGATAAAATTATCTTTGTAAACAAAAGCGTTTTGTGAATAACAGTTGTAATTAAATTAAATTACTGCGTATACTATTTTCATTTTTGGTAGTTTTTATCTATTATTAAATGTATAAAACGAATTGATAACGTTAAGGAAGATATAAGAAACGTGATAGATTTGTATAATCGAAATGTTTTGATTTTTTTCCCAGAAAAATTCAATCCAAATCTGTTAGAGGAACGTTCACTGTCACCGGGAGCCTTCGCCCCTCAACAGCCCGTCATTGTTCAAGCAGCAAACTATTCACCTTACAGGTAAATATAGTCTGTCCAACGGGAAGATCCTTGACAGTGATAGATGTGTCTGTCATTTTAATTTCAAAGTAGTTTATTTTATTTTACAAAGAAATAAGTTGGTACAATTGGAACGCATAGCAGGAAATTTTAATATATTTAAAATTTGACTGACAAGTGATTACTTCAAAATATTGTGATAAAAAAACTGTATAAAACTGAAAAAATGTATTCAAGTTATTTTATTTAATAAAACGGTATGTGTTAATACAAAACAAACAAGAACAAAACACCACATACCAAAAAAAAATATATAAAAAAGAACTATTTTTTATTTTCAAGCTTCACAAGAAACTTATAACTTCGTTATCAATATAACTTGTCTTATGTACAAATACAAACTTGTAATATTCCACAGGAATAAATAAAACAAACTATTTTATTAATAATAACACTTACCAAATTTTATACCTTAAAGGTTGATTAATTAACTTTAATCTTAATTTTTTTAAACCAGTACCTTTTGACATTATTTTTCTGCAGTACTAAAATCCATTATTTACCTATCGTGTGATGTCGATATTTTACAGCTACTACAGTTTTTAGTATATGTTTAGTACGATCCTTGTACCATATACGAGATGCACTTATCTACGACAAGATGGTATACAAACTTTATTGATGGTAACTTTATTGGTGTATAAAACTTTCTGCCTGGGCAGCGAGTACTAACTATAAACTGCTCTGGGTCTACAGTTTCCGTCGATTTTTCTTGCACTTGACTTCAAAAGACTCAAAACACACGTAATAACACGAATCAAAATGCATCATGTTCCAAAACGCAGGGCATTTGACATAAGTTGACACAAGACTATAACCTATAATTTGGCAAGACTTTGACAAGCCTCAAAAATCTAAAGGCGAGTTCATACGCACCGGCGCTGCGTCCGTTTGTCGTTAATCGTTCCGTCAAACCAATAAAATTGAAATATGATCTGTCATTTTCGAAATAAACCAATAAAACTGGTTAAAAACAACAAGAGACGACGCATGATGGATTTATATTTAAATCCATCCATAGTTAACTTAAAAAACATTAGAAACTTTTTTTAGTAAAATAAATAGATTGGTATGGGACGTCATCTGCTTTTCTTCTGTCATCGTCTGTCGAAATCTTACCTAAGAAAAAAATCCTTGACAGTTCTGTTTGATGATTCATTTGACACATTTGAATTTGATTTGAAATTGTGTGGATTTGTCAGTCTTTACGGAGCTTATTTTATGTTATTTATTATTTATTCTACTACTGATAGTTGTATAAAGGTAGTAAATCTAGAATGAAATTGTGGCAGAACTTAAATTAACTGTGACACTATCGCTATTTATCAAAAAAGACTCTAAAATAGTTGGTTGTGTAGCGTGCGGTAGATCTCGGCAAAAATCGAGTGAAATAATGGAACAACTTTTCGCTAGCAAGTGACTATATAATATACATACGTGTAGTAAACCGATCATTTATGAAATTCACTTAAATTAACTAATTTATCGTCCGATTGCTGCCAAAAGTCACTAACTTACTTTTTATTACTTCCGAGAAAAATGCGTCTAAAGATGAATTGCATTGCATAAAGATGTTATAGTTAGTAACTATTCGGTATTAAAATAAAACATAAATAGCCAGAAATCGTAGTTAATGACTTTTGCAATCGATTCTCAGATTCAAAACATAGTTAGTGATTGAATTTGGTTGTTCGGAAAAATGTTAGTTAGTGACTTTTGGCAGCAATAGGACGTTATATTTTTTCTTGCATTTTTGCTTTTATTTACTACTTGTCAAAGATTAGATGTCAAAGAATTTAGATACGTCAGTTTGACTTACCTGCTTCAGTAGCGTATCGGATGTTTGTGTTAATAAATAATTATTAAAACTTATCTATTTTTATTATAAAAATATGTTTTTATAACAATTTTAATAACTGCCAACATTTATTCACAACGTAAAATAAAATAAAAATATCGAGTCTACCCCCACGTCTACCCTACATCATAGTTTTTCATTTTTTAAATAAAATTAGAACGGCACTGATAAATCCGGTGAAGGTTTTAAAGTCACCTTTTCTGCAAATCAAACTAAGTAGATAGGCGCAAATTTGATATGTGGCAATGTCGCCTTCTCTATCTCAGTTGGTTTTTACAGTACGTAGTCAACCTCCGATTGTTTGATCGGGTTAAAATGCACAATGTGATATCTGTTCTTCCTAAATCTATGGTTATACTGGATATATATTTTTGTTTGTTTGTACTTTTCAGCGGTAACAATAGCTACGCCACCATGGGCCTGGACTTGAAGCGGCACCTGGACGAGCAGAGCGCGGGCAGTCCGTCCAGTTCCGGCGAGCTGGACGACCCGGACATGAAGCGGCAACGCCTCATCCAGCCCAAATACGAAACGGAATAATAGTTTGTCCGCTCGTCCACCTAGTTGTTGCCCACCCCCTGTATGTTCTGGCGCAGTGTCGCGCCAGAACGAACCGTATAATATGTATGGATCGCGCGACAGTCGGAAAAAAGACGTACGTTCGCTCTTCTGTCATTCCGTTGACGTTTGTCAAATGACAGAATGGTGGAACGTCATCGTGGAGTCATCAGGTTTTTCGTTAGAGTGCGTGTGTGTGAACGGCCCCTCACAGTCGAGTCTGCGCTGTTAGGTCTTTATGCAATATACCCCCGGTTGAGAAATAAAAAAAAATTAAGGAAAAAATGAGGGAAATTAAAAATTCGGGGTTTCCCATATAAGAATGTATGTTTACGGGTTATATCTCGTAAACTAGAAGAGATAGAGGGATGATTAAACTCTGTATCTGGTCTGGCTTACGAGATATGACCTGTGTACTGGGCTTTTCTTAGGTGGGACACCCTGTATATGATCTAGGAAAATAAATAATGTTCGTTTTCGTTAAGGGATCAAAAAAAGTTAATATTATAATGCGTCTAGAAAAAGAGTTGTTGAATAAAAATTAATAATAATAAATCTAGTAATAATGATACGAATAGGGAAAGGACTTCAAATAAATTCCGACGAAAGTCGCTAAAATTTTAGGTATTTTGAATTTTAATTGTATTTTCGGCTCTTAGATAAAGAAAATAGTTCTTTTGAACGCCCAAAACTTACCTGGCTATAGTTCTTCTCGCGTGAACGTTCCTTCATTTGACATTTGATATAGTATATGGTAATGGTTTGGTTTAAACAAAAAAATCCCTAGACAATGGATAAAAATGTGTTCTGTTAGCTTTGACGGACCGTGTTACGCCATATTGGGAAACGCTACGCGAGAAGAACTATAGCTGCGGTCCGGAAAATTTTGTGTAATGAAGAAATCGGGTAGTATATAATATCTTTTTATTTAAAAAAATCATTTTCTTGGACATTAAATTGCGAAAATTTGTTGTAATTTGGACAGCCTGTACAAAGAGTTAGAAATAACATTTTTGTTTACAAAATTTCACTATTTTTTTATTTTTTTTTTATACAAAATGTTGCTGGATTTAAAAGAGACACATTTCTCAGTAGATTAATAATAGACTGAGAAAAAAGTTTCCGAATTGATATACAAAATGATCGAAAAAAACGGCGCCAGCGATGGCTATGAAATGAAGAGTAATTTTATCGGTAAAATTACATGGGGAATGTCATCGATCGTCATTTCCAAGCCAACTGGGCGCCGTTTTTTTTATCATACTGTAATATAATATGATTCTTACTTAAATATTTGCAAGATAAATTTAAAAATGATATCAAATCACTTCTGGCATTTTCTTTTTTTGAATCTGAGAAAATCGGTTAATTGAATGACAAAAAAATCAGTATTTATACCGGATTTCTTCAAAATATATTTATATGGACTTAAGAAATTACACTTATTCTAAAAAAAAATTGACATTTTCCCCATGTTCTTCAAAGTGAGATTAAATAACTAGTTAATTATTTTCGTTTTTTGCGATGTATAAATATTTTTAGTGCAATATATTTTGAAAGAATCTCACTTACACCTTTTTTCCTTTTTTTTAGTACGAGAGCATAAAACGTTGAATATACAGTGAGTGTCAAAACGTTTGCAACAAATATAAGATTTTTTCTATTTGTTGAGAACTTTTTGTCACGCATTGTATGTCTTTTATTTTCTTGATCAAATGTTTACAAACCAAAATATAAGACATTTGCTGATGTTGGTATTCTTCGGAAAGAAGCTTTTTACATTTTTTTTGCTATTTGTTGATATTTTTGTTGTAGTTTGTTGTTAGAATTTTTTATTACTTTTTATTATAAAATAAACGTATGAGTATGTATGGTGAATAATCAGCAAATGTTTAAGTATTTTTTGTTCATTGACAAACCAGTATTTTGAATTTGCCGCACTTTGTTTATTTTAAACGCCTCCCTGTAAATACTGTATTGAAATTATTTTCCAAAAATTATATATATTGTATAATATTTTCTTTCAGAAACCTATTTGGTATGTTAAGGAGTTTTGTAATGAATGACATTGACATAAATCAAAAAAAAAATCGAAAAAAAAGAAACGTCGAAGCCCCTTCGAATTGATTAGCTCGGAGATCGTTACTTAAATTCATGTTTTTTTTGAAGAAGGTAAATAAGAATCTTTTCTGAAAAAAGAGTAACTATATTTATCTGTATGATTTTAAAAGCTACTATGACGCCGATTTTTTTTTCGACCGTGTTGTAGTATTATTTAAGAAGAATCTTTAAAACTAACTTGTTTTAAGAGATCTAAAAAATAATTAAACCATAGATATATATATATAAAATATAGATTTCCTAATCACTTCAAGCCATCGACGTTAAATTATATAGATCGACTATTTCTTTTCGAAAACGGCAAAAAAATACACCAGTGCGTCGAAAGGTAGTGAATTCTTAACTAATAAATATTTTATAATGAAAGTAACAAATTGAAATTGTTACACTGCGTAATAAATTGTTAATTTGTTACACTATCTATTTGTTTTTCGTATTTGTGACATAAAACGATTCCCAGTTGATTTTTGAAGGCTTATACTTTTTTTTCGATACTTTAATGCTTTTTTTCCGTTATACGAACCTGAGCAGTTCTTATATAGTGTTGTAGAGGGCTTAACATAATGTAAAAAACTGTTTGTACTCGTTTTTCGACTATCCAATGGTCTTAACTGTTAGTTATATATGTACACAAGAAATTGTAAACGTAGGGACTAAAAAAAGAAATAATAAATTAAATTGCTGTGAACCTGCTGTTTATTTTTTTCTTTTCCTAAACCTAAAATTGCGTTTGAACTTATAAAAATGGCAGAAAAAATTGTTTGAACACATAAAAATACCGAGAAAACGTCTCAACATATAAAAAATAAACTTCAAAAAACTTTAGACAGATAAAACTACGAGGTATTTGGAACAAATCAATATCTTATTCAGTAAAAAATATATAAAGTATACAATAAATCTACTAAAATCTATAAAGGTATATGTACAAATAATATTTATATCTATATACAGGGCGTGGCAAAAAGTTCACAACAATTGGAGAAGTTTTTAAATTAAAAAAGAGTTTATACAGAATTTCGTTTGCAGCAAATGCTCCCACCTTTTTTCACGTCCTGTTAATACGAAAATATATCACAAAATGGCGGTTACATTCCGAAAATCATTCTCAGGTCCTCCATAGTGAGTTTGCTCTGAACGACCTGTTTGGTGCCTGTCAGAACGCCCTCGGCCATGCTCAATTTTCGCTCTTGCAGTGCTTTAATTCTTTCCTCGATCGTGTCGAGCGCCATCAATCTAACTCACACCCTGTATAGTAACGATTCAAAATAAAAATAGCAAAAAATATACTTACTTATAGATGAAGACTGGTTTCGTCTGGCCCACCCTGTATATACGATCTTGAGCTTGGTTTTCTAACTGCGGGTTCCAGTGGAGATCAAGAAGGAACAAGTGATTTCCTCCGACTAAGTTTAAACCTACGCCACCTGCTGTTAGGGAGAGAAGTAATACCTAAGAGAAAAAATAAGGTTATAATCCCAGGGTTAACCAAACCAAACCAATGACCTCTAAATAAAGTAGACCCGGCATTTCATTCATAAAAAGGAAAAGATCAGAATCAGATATTCGTTTCTTGCTCTATGCGAGTGGGAACAAGACGGGCTGATCGCAGTCATGAAGGATTCCCGTGAGAATGGCAACGCTGTTCAGAGATCTTGAGAAAGTGTGTCATGGGCGTAGTTACTTTGATTGTAATATATAATTTAATATTATATCCGCGTAAATACCGGGAAAAAAGCGGCGTCCAGTTGGCTTGGAAATGACGATCGATGACATTTCCCATATAATTTTACATATAAAATGACAGCGATCTTCATTTCGTAGCCATCGTTGACGCCGTTTTTATTCGATCATACGGTATGATTTTTGGATACGATATATTGTTGTGCTCGATGGCTCTTCAAATTTTGAAAATGACTACTTCTGTACTCCAATAAATTGAAAATAACTAATTGAAATATTATGATATGCACATTTCCATAGTATAAAGTCTGTAAATTGCTCCAGTAGTAATATAATCCATCAAGCATTCAATGAATACGAGCCGACGACGACTTTTATAAAACATTTATGTGAATTAATGGTTATTATTTTGCTTGAAGCAACGGTGGAAAATGAGAATATTTTAAAACTGTCGTGACTAATTACAATTTTATATTAGGTATAAAAATATTACTATATAGCAACAATAATAAAGATCTTTGTTAAACAAAAGAAAATTTCTAAAATATTTACTTATTTCTGGAACAGTTTCTTCGCGGATAATCGGGACCTTGTACTGAATAAATAATTAACTTTTCATTAGAAATTACCAAACAAAAAATAAGTAACGCTTTATAAAACATATCAAACAAAGATGCATTCATCTCTTAAACTATATAATTTTTTATAGCATTAATAAACAAAACAAAAAATACATTGCTCTATTACCACAAACATTATACCATCGAAAAAAGAAACGGCGTAAAAAATGACAATCAGTGATAATTTTGGCGAGGTGATATGTCATGACCCCTACTCTTGTTTATTTTTTAATGGAACTTACTGGCAGTAGTAGGCCTTAAGGTTGTATTTGACTTTTAAATGGTGTAGTATAAATTCGAAATTTTTTTTTGGATATCGGTTTGTGTTTCTGGAAACATTCTATCCTTTTATAATTTTTCTATAATTAGTATTAGTTTTTGACAAGCTTTATGTCAATTTTTAATAAATGACATCTAGAAATAGACCTCGCCAAAATTATATTCGATTGTTATTCCCAGCAGTCTTCGATACCGTTTTTTTTCTCGATCATTCGGTATTTAGTATGTAATATCCAACGTACTCTTCCCTTAACTTTTTTTCAATCATTATATAATCTATTTTGATTTTACACTTAAAAAATCATCTTTTTTAAAACTCCTAATAAGAATCAGTATGATAGAAAAAAAAGGCCTCCAGTTGGCTTAGAAATGAACATCGATGACATTCCCCATATAATTTTACATATAAAATGACAGCGATCTTCATTTCATAGCCATCGCTGACGCCGTTTTTTTTTCTCGATCATATGGTATTTCGCTTATGAACATTTTTCGTAATTGTGGCATCTTTAATTTTTTTATATATCTTTTCAACAAATTAATCGCATTTGTATACTTGGTATTTGTATACTTGGTTTTAATAATTAAAAATTATGAGCAAAATATTCAATAAAACCAAACGTGACGAAACTAACTTAATGTAATTCATTACTTATAACGGTACATTCCAAAACTGTGTGATTTACTAATACATATTTCCAAAGATTTTTCTCTATTTTACCTTTCGGCACCGCACTGATGTAACATAGCCTTACTCACCTTCGAAATGAAACTTCTAGGTTTAAATCGTCTCTATTTTTGCAAATTAAGCAAGTTCGCACCATTGTCTTATTGTTTATCAATAAAATCACTAAAAACAATACCACAAAACACTAAAATATCTGGAAATCACCTCGTAAAACATTTCGAAAAACTACAACACATTGGCAACGCCGTAGAGCAATTTATGAACGAATTCGAACTGGATGTTTTGTTGGCTGCCTAAATTTAGGAGTGAAGATAGTAAAATGCGTACGTTTTCGGCATCAGCTGGCGTTGCGACGTTGTCGATTGTTTTATGTTAAATTTCTTAATTTCTAAAAATTATAATTACAGAAGATTTAAACCTTTACTTATTAACTTTACTACCTTTAATTATTATCGGTTTAAAATATTCTACGACGTAATCTATATTTGGAATTATGGAATTCCTGGTTTACAATGTGGGTTAGCTATCCCCGTACGTATACGTAGGTAAGACTTCATTTTAAATGCGGCCGGTAGTGGAAATTTGGCATACATGCAATTTTCTAAGGCAATGATGGATTTCGCCAAAATGTAAGTCGCCGGGTCTAATTTATTTCGATGTCATTGTGTACAACAAATTTGAGGAAGTTTTTATGTACCTTCATTTTGTGTTTAGGATTGTTGAAACGGTCGATTATGTCGATTCGTTTGTTCACCGGAACCTTTCCATCCAGTTGGCTGAATTCGATTCCAAAGCGCTTCAAATGAACCGAAATTAAATTTAAATATGACGACCACTGTGATACAATGATGGCCTTATCTTCAGTGTCCAGTACTCTTTCTTCTAACAGCTTCAACAGAGCTTTCACCTGAGGAAATAAATATATTTTGTTTATATACAGGGTGCATCTTAAAATAAGTACAAGTATTTTAACTGGTTATAAAAAAAATTGTCGAAAACTTTAAATTTTTCTGGGAAAATTTTTTTCATTTATTTCTATTTCAGAAATTATCAAAACCAATTTAATAATATCCTTGTATATGGATTTTTAAAGTAGCTCAACCTAAGACGTTTATGGATGTAAAGCACCAGATGGCGGGGCGTATTTCACGGTCTTTTACTACAGAAAAATATTTTTTGTTACTCTGAATTTTGAAGCGACCAATAAAAACAGAGAAAATAAAAATCGATAATTTTCGGACTGTGCCAATTGGTTACCAATCGACCAGATACTTTTTGTCTATTAGATATGCTATAAAAGCTGGTAATTATACAATTTGACCATTGTAAATACCCGACAAATTCCGCAAAGCCGATGCTTTTCACTGATAAGAAAAAAAATGTTTGTTTAGATAATTTTCGAGATATTTTTTCTTTCCGAATGCACATTTTTAAAGTATTTTATATTCTTTGTCCGCTTGATCTATTATACTGGTCGCACGTATCGAAGTTCTGTTTCTTCTAGTTTTAAAAAATGTTCTTATTTCTTTGTAGTGGTTGTAGTGTAAAATTAGATTAATTTTATTAAGTTTAATTATAATGTTTAGTGTAGAATACCACAAATAGTTTAGTAGTGTTTTTATAGTTTATTATTTTGTAGTTAAGTAGTAGGTGAAGGGATAATTTGGTTATTTTTTCTTTTTGTTTAATTAATTAGTAAGTTTGATAATTTTTTCAGTGTAGAATACAAGAAGTAGTTGTGTAGTGTTTTTATAAGAGATTATATTAGTTTATTTTGTAGATGAGTAGTAGGTGAAGGTATTTGGGTATTTTTTCTTTTTGTTTTTCTTCTAATTGTAGTAATTCTATTACGTATTGTGATAGATACACTATATCTTCCTTCAACTTCGTTGAAAAGCGCATTACCACATAATTTTGCTTTTTTGGTAGTAGAATATACGAAAAAAAAATCTGATCAAATTTATTTTAAATTAAATTAATCGAGTCTTATTAATCAAATTAATCTAGTCAAATAATAATAATAGTTAGTTTATAAAAACTACTGGAGACTGGAGATAGAGAGTCGGTTAAATGGGGAAAGAATTGCAGTTTTGTGGGGTCATAAATATGCGCCTTTCAGATTTTTTTTTTCAAAGTTCGAGGCTTACTAGATATTTCGAAAAAAAACAAATTTTGGCTATTTTAAAACTTTTGTCTCTAATTCCATTATAATCTACCGTATGATCAAATAAAAACGGCGTCAACGATGTCTATGAAATGAAGATCGCTGTCATTTTATATGTAAAATTATATGGGAAATATCATCGATCGTCATTTCATAGCCATCGCTGACGCCGTTTTTATTCGATCATACGGTATTTTAGATAAAAAGTTTTCACATAAAAGTTGTAGATAATTACATACCTAATGAGTTTGTGTTTTCTGTTTTTTTTTCTAAAGCCTGTCATTTTTGACATATATGACACAAACGTTATGTTTTTTTTTAATGGAAACCATAGTTGGCCATGACTTCATAAAAAGTGCCATTTTTAAGCTTTTCAACGATATAGGTAGGTATAATATGTTTTTTTCGAAAAATTACAAGTTATAGCCAATGCATTTCTTTCTTGGCTAATTTCCATACCAATAATACCATGCCAATTAGTTGGCATCAAGAATGTAAAAAGTTTTATGTTTTCAAAAAAAATATCGCAAAATTCGTAAAGCACTCAATTTAGAATAAAATAATCTAAGAATGAAATGATTCTTTTATAAACCTGCATTAAATCAAATTAAAATAGGTATGTAACTTTTTTTAAATATTAATTAATAGCAATTAGCATTATCATAAATTATTATAAATAATGTACCAACATATCGAAATAATAATTTCTTTGTTAATACAGTTTAGAATTCTTAAAATAACAGGCAAAAATAATCCACAATTTACAATAAAATAAAAGTTTTGTTTAAATTTCTTAATCAGCTGATCAGTATTAAAGTTCTCAGAAACCCGGGGCTATATTATTACATTACTCTGAGGAAAATAACGAAAACAATCGATATTTTTGACTCCGCCCCGAAAGGTTCACGATTTGTCCTCCAGTTGGCAGCACATTTTGTCTAGTCGGTTGAACAACTTTAAGAATATATAAACAAGGATAATATCTTAGGACTATGTAAAGTGATTAAGAAGGAACACAAAAATGTAATAATATACAGGGTGTTGCGTTTAAAAAGATCATCCCTGCCGAATCACATTTTTTTGAACGACCCTAGAAGTTAAAATATTTTCCTGAAAAACATCCTAGTATGTACTTGAGGTTCGCACTTATTATAGGAACTACAGATGCCAGACACACTCTTGCAGGACCCTGTATATGGGTGAAGGAATATTTATAATCCAAACTCGTACCTTACTGCTGGGTCTGTCACTGGCAAAAACTGGATCAGAAGGGTTCAGATGACCCCTGGACGCTTCTTTCAATGTTATTTTCTCTTCCCGTATCCCATCCAGGTATCCGTCTGATTTGTGCTCGTCTACGTCGGCGTCGTCTTCTAAATTCATCTTGCTCAACTGTTCCAGCAGATTCATTTCTTCCAGTTTTTCGTCATCGTCGCCCAGATCTTCCCTACCTTCTTGCAGCATCTGGTAACAATATACATACACAGGATGTTGTTAAAGAAGTCATATAACAAAATTACTAGTGACAGTTCTCGAAAATACACGAAAAATTCGAATCGTTTTTTTTTATTTCGAAATGTCATAAAAAATGGTTGAAAAAAAGTTATAAAATTATTGAACTTACCGCGGTGATCAATGACGGATGACAGCAAATCTGCCTCAACCTCAAAAGCAGAACCAGAATTTCGTGCTGACTCACTGTTTTCACTTTGTTCATCCTCAGGATTTTCAACGCTTTCGCATACTCTCCGTTTGGGTCTTTACCTGAAATATTATTTAATTATAATAAATACCGAAAAAACGTTACACTAAAATATTGGTACATTCATCCACAATACCTAACCCAATGATTTAAAAAAAAAGTTACTTACCAGGCAAGTCCGTGTATTTCTGATCGACAAAGGCCTGATTTTTTTCGGCCCTCTGGTGCAAAAACTGGGCGAACAGCGTTTGAGAGAATATGAGGACTTTGTGGTACACTCTCAGCTCGTCCTTGTCCAGAGACACGTTGATTAATTCCCATTTTTTCTCGGGCATCATTAACAAAGAGCCTTTTTCCATTAGTTCGACTTTGGTTCTTCTCAGCATCAGGGACGAAATTACGGTGTGAAGTCGCTCTAAACCCCCTGTAGATTTGTCGCCAACCCATCTTTTCCACACCTACGTTTTTATATAACAATCAGTGAAATATGATCCAAGATAATTTCAAAATAAAAGTAATATTTACGAGGTATTTTCAAAATTAGTAAGATATTTACGAAATATGTTAAATGTATGAATATTTACGAAATATTTCAAAACTACTTTTTGACAAAGTATTTTGTAATAAATGACAAATTTTCGAAAACTTTAAAAATAATTAAATATTTTACGAAATGTTTCAAAAGGAATCCATATTTACGAAATATTTCGATAGCAATAAAATATTTTACGAAGTATTTTAACAAATTTTTTGAAATCGCTAAAATAGTTACGAAATATTTCAGCAAAAAAAAAATTGAAAAAAATATTTACGAAATGTTAGAAGACAAATGAAATATTTTAGAAGATATATCGAAATAAATTAATTTTTACGAAATATTCCAATACCAATGAAATATTTTACGAAATATTTTGAAATCGCTGAAATATTTTAAATCAATTAAATATTTTAAATCAATTAAATATTTTACGTAATATTGCCAAGTGTAATAATATTTATGAAATATTTGAAAATGAAAATTTTTACGAAATATTTCAAAATTAACATTAAAAAAATATTTTTAAACCAATGGCATTTTTAAAAAGTAATCAAAAAAAAAACAATGAAACATTTAAGAATTTCCGAAAATTAATGAAATATTTACGAAATATTTTATAATAAAACAACAACAAATGAAATAGGTACTTGACAATACTCAAAGCAATATTATTAATATATTTATAACTCTTCAACTCAATTGTCAGTACCTGAAGATCATCAAATGGCGAACACCTTAAATATTTGAGCAAAGCATACATGTCCAGTTCTTTATTGTGCATGGGAGTTCCTGTCAGAGCCCATCTAGTTAAAAAAATAAAAAAAACAAAAACAAAATTATAAAAAGAATAAAGAAATAATAAAAAAAATTATATAAAAATAAAATTATTAAAAAGCAATAAAAAAACAAAGAAAAACAAATAAATAAAGAGCATAAAAATATAAAAAAATACCTTGACTGTGCTGACAATCGACAACACGCTTCGGAAGTTTGAGACTTGTAATTTCGAATTTGATGAGCCTCATCTAAAATAATTCGCCTCCATTTTATTTTAAAAAGAGCGCTTTCTTTGTCTGCCTCGTTGTTCACAATAGAGTAAGTGGTAATGACCTAAAAAAATAAAATTACTACAAAAAAAACAACAGAAAAAAGCAGATTTATCAGTTTTTGCCCTTACCACATCATACTCAGCAATTTTCTTGATCTTAGTTTCACGTTTGGGGCCGTGAAAAAGCATGTACGACAGCAATCCCCGTTTTAGACGCCTGTCAATCTCGCCTGACCACTGATTAATCAAACTGGCCGGGCATACGATCAGGCTTCCTAAAATAACAACAATGTAACCTGTAGTGTACGTTTTTTTTCCAGAAGCGCAAATCAGAAGAATGTAGATTACATACGAGAAGTGGCAACGCAGTAAGTGCAAGTAGTACATGGTTAAGGAAATATTCAAAAGAAAAAAAAGTTTCCACACAAATATTACCAAGATAATTTCAAAATTAATGTAATATTTACGAAGAATTTTACGAATATTTACAAAAAATTTCAAAAAAATGAAATAGTTTACGAAATATTTCGAATGTATTGATATTTACGAAATATTTCAAAAACAATAAAATATTTTACGAAATATTTCGAATGTATTGATATTTACGAAATATTTCAAAATTAATATTTTTACGGAATATTACTTCTACATAAATATTACTAAGATAATTTCAAAATTAATGTAATATTTACGGAGAATTTTATGAATGTTTACGAAATATTTCAAAAACAATAAAATATTTTAAGAAATATTTCGAATGTATTGATATTTACGAAATATCTCAAAATTACTATTTTTACGAAATGTTTAAAAACAAATATTTTTAGAAAGTATTTTGAAATAAATGACATTTTTACGAAATATTTAAAAATAAACAAATTATTTTACGAAATATTTCAAAGTCTAAATTATCTAAAATATACGGAAAAATTTAAAAAATACTAAGTTTTAAAAATAAAACGCACACGCGTGTTTCTGGGGTCGAAATATAAATTAAAATATAATTAAAAATATATGACAAAAAAGCTTACCTCCTTTATATTTCATATTTTTCCCCACATATTCGTTTTCCTCGTCCGAATCTGACTGTTCTTCGCTTTTGCATTTTACAATTAGCGATAACATGGTCAGAGTTTTTCCAAGGCCCATATCGTCTGCCAAAATGCCACCAGAAGGTTTTTCCTTCTCTCTATATCGCCAAAAAAAATTAAATCGCTAGTTTGATTCTGTTCAATGTTAAACACAAAATAACTGTTTATAGTAATATACAGGAGTGATCCATGTTTATAGGACCTTTTTTCCATATTTTTTGATAAGGATTTACCTCCTGAAATTTGGCCATGCATTTTTCAAACATTCTGTATAATTACCTGAACATCAGCCATGCCAAAGCGCGTTTTTGATGCGACATTAGTTCAACTTTCAAGCCACGAGGATCCTCAGCAAAATCTTCCTCTTTTGGACAGGTTTCTATTGCACCGTGTAGTTGTTGCAATCTATCTAGAGTAATTGCTTTCTGAACGTTGTACGTATTCATTGCTACAAACAAAACACCAGTTAACTTTTTTAAGTAGGGTACGGGCCAAGTAAATGACGGTTAGGGCTTGCCCTCGCCAAAATTATCATCGATTGTCATTTACAAGCCTTCTTTGACGCCGTTTTTGGAAGTGAAACTTCTTTACGCGCGTTGGGAGTAAAAATTCAAGGTCGTGACGCTCGAGAAGAAAAGTAATAGCGGCAGGGTTGCCACACCTACCCGATTCGGGGTAGATCTGCCCCTTTGTAAAACAATTTAACCCCGTTATGTCGTGATAATCTATCGCAATGAAAAATAAGCTTGTGGCAACACTGGGTAACGATCTGTACAAAACGCGGCACGAAAATAAAAAAAATATATACAGAGTTGTTCACCACATACGACACGGAATATTGTAGCTAAACGATTAGATCTTTAAAAATTGTAAGTTTTGGGTTCGTTGAAGGACTATTAGAGCTACAATTTAAAAATATTTTTACAAAACACAGAGTGTCCCAAATAAATAAAAAATATCAAAGCTGTATTTTTTTAAATGAAACACCCTGTATATTATTACATTTTTAGTTTCTATGATTAAAATAAAGGTAAATTTTATTAAGGTTTATTACACTTAAACCTTACCGTTCTTGAAATATTTTCAATTTTGTGAAATTGCAGTATAATATACACTGCTGGCAAAGGAATATTAGCAATAGGAGGTTTTCAATGCGATAAAAAAAGAAGGTAAGGCTGCAAAATACACTGCAGTGCAACAGAGACGGATAAAGTGTCTTTTCCCTACCATTGTATAGGGGAAGTGATCATAGAAGTGATACGACGATAGAGCCCCTGCGAGAGGGGGCGCCGGGCGGGTCTTTAAGACGCTTGTGTGGGGGCTACCGCCTACTAATAGAACATAATCGAAAAAATAGAAACAGGACGGACAGTGTTGCCATTCAGTTAAATCGAAATTATGTTGGCTTGTCAAAATCCTAAATCTTCTAATCCCATTATCTTGCCTACTTAATGAAATATTAAATAAAGTAAGAAACAATTTTAAGAATGTTTTCTCTAGGCACATAACTTCTTTCTAAAACGAAAAGTAACATGCAAAACTTTGAAATCATTTCTAAAATAGCAAGTGCAATTCTATGAAATGGCAATACTGTACGATCTTCCTAGCAGTCGCCCCGACACAGTCGGTCGGCGGCGGCGCTTGACAAAGCCGCGGCTGTGACAAAGGAATTAGGCCGAAAAAAACTTTATAAGGAGTAGCCGAACAGGGTTGCCGGGTTGGTTAGATTATAATTCCATACGAGAACAAAATTCTCGGTAGATCTTCAACAAAAATTGAAAGTACAGAAATGAAATAAAATATAATATTTAAGTCCAAAATTAGCATTCCTATGTGTCGTAATAATAGATCACTCAAATAAAATACAAATATAATAAATATAACAAGAATTAGAAATAGCTAGGTATATTATTTGATATTAAAAAAAATATTGAATTAAATAATATTAATATATTAATAAAAACATATAAAACTATAACAAGTAGGGATAGCAGTCACAAATTAGTGTAACAGTCACTTTTTACCTTTGTACAAATTTTGATCAGTGATATCTAAAATTAATTTCATTTCAATGGTAAAGCTGTAGCAACTCTCAACTCTTTTTTCATATTAATAAATTTTTTTGACGGGAAAATCACTAAATATTGTCCGAATTTAGGTTGTTTCTTAACTTAAATTTTGTTTTTGTTTACATTTTTTGGGGGAAAATATGGGTTCAACTTTAGTAGATGAATGAAATAAAATCTTTTCAAAAGATATCAACTTCTTCGGGCATGCCGCCAATCCCGCGCCTAATAAGGAGTAATAAGGATTTTTAGGAATATCTCTGTAACTCTGCAACTAGACAGAACGATGACCTGTATGTCTGTTATTACTAAATAAAATTTAATGAAACAATAATAAAGTCAGATTATATAGATTCCAACGCGGCAGTCGCTTAATTTTTAGTCAAATAAGTCAGCTTTTTAAAAGTGCTTCTATTGTAAAAACTAAAGACGCAGTTGAATATATCGTTAGATTTTTCTTTAAATCGGTAGATCGGTAGCTTACAGACGAAACTGGTACACCTGGCAACTCTGTGATGAACTGACTGGAGTCGGAATAGCGAGGTGCGGAGGCGCGGGAAGGGAAATAAAATAATGGCGATAAATAAAGGGCAGATGGGTATCATGAGTGGATGGGAGGTGGCGGAATTTCCAAAATTTGTTATCTTATTGGAGTTTGTCTAAGTAGACAGTCGTAGTGGAAGTGGAAACGGGGAAGTTGTTGTCCATCTCTGTTTAAGCATAGACTTTTTATAGGCGTTTCATTCCAATGCATGTAATTCCTATGCCTAGAGATCCATTGCCGGGCCTGTATAGAATTTAAAAGAGTAATAAAAATATAGGATCTTCTTTCAATGCGCAGTAGGGAACGCAACGTTTACCGGCAGCCAGACGGGCCGCATGCTGTTCTAGAGAGCATAATAAAAGATATATCCAAGAGCCAGACGTCTTAAAATACTTGTTTTTCCGACGTTGCTAGCTCTCGTACTATTACCTCTTTTTCCAAAAGTTTTCGGCTGTACCGCATTGGCTCCAGCCTGCAAATCATCCCATGCCAAATTGGCAAAAACGTTTTTCGGCACTTCGACGTCCTCTTTCGTTATGGCCATCTGAGTCAGTATGACTCTTTGTTCTTCCAGATTGTTACGGGCCTGATCATATCGCTGCTTCAGCAATGCGCCACCGTCAGGAAGTGCTGATATATTAATCGTTCTCAGCATGTTGCCCATTTTGTTCAGTTCCGATTCCAGGCTTGTCACGACGTTTTTTTGTATGGAGTATTCGCTGGGAGTTACGTCGAGCTTGGAAGAACTCTCTAGAGATTGTATTGATGCTTCTTTTAACTCTTCTGGACTTTCTGGTTGGTTTTTAACGATAAAAGGGTATAATGTTTGTTGTTTCGATGCTTTTTTCGGTTTGCGCACTTTTATAGGAGTTGAAACCGGCTCGATGCTTGCTGAGTCAGATATTTCACCGCTGCTGATCTAAATATAACATATACAGGGTAAGGTACATAATAAACACCCTCTATACTATATACGCCCGAAATGTTTTAATAAATATTTCTGGCAATAATAGTAGCTCCTGGAATAAAAAACTTGGAAATATTGTTGAAGTGTAGACCTAAAGTAAGTATTAGGATGTATTTCAGGAAAATATTTTAACTTCTACAGGGTGACTCAAAAAAGTGTGAGTGGATCTGGATGATTTTTTCTAAATGGAACACCCTGTATATTATTGCATTTTTGGCTTCCTTCCAAATCGTTTTACATAATCCTAAATAAATAAAAAATATATATTTTTCGGCCTTTCTTTTTTTTTTCGGACTGTCGCCAGCGACACGTCAAGAGGACCAATGAGATTTGTACAAAATTCAAACAGCTGTCAATTTTAAATTTAGTACAGCTCCCATTGGTTGTTTGAAATGTCAAACTGTGTCGTCAGCGACACGACGTCGTTCTGAGAACGAGGCTTAAAATGTCATCAGCTTTTGACATTTGTAAATATCAGACCAATGCCGTCTCTAATAGAACAGCCTCGGAGCGAGATTTATGACGTCACGCTAGTTAGATACTACGAATTAATAAATATGTTGTAGAATACATGGGAAACATAATTATTCCTTGTATTTTTGGTTATACTAAAACGTTTTTTTTAAACCAAAAAAAAATAATGAAAAACCAAATGAAAACTTAATCAGCGTTTTTCCTAAATCCCAAGAAAGTCAAAAAATTTTAGAATAATTTTACATATAAAATGACAGTGATCTTTATTTCATAGCCATCGCTGACATCTTTTTTCTATGATATTGTATTATTTGCAAATATAATTTTTCGAACATTGATACTTGCAAAATATACATATAAATTTTGTTAATAAAATTAATAATACATCACTATTAGTAGATATTGAATGTTTTTTTGTTAAATTAGATCGATTTTCAAACCCCAAAATTTAAAATATATTTTACATTTTACCCATTATCTTATGTACCTATTCATTATTTGTATACTGTAAAATATTTGCTGCATTTGTATGGTTCATAGTTTATTTGCCAAAGTATTTATTACTATAAATATATATTATTTATAGTATATTTCATGTAAACCAAATCATTTTTAAAATACAAACCAAAAATACGAGGAATATTATGTTTTCCATGTATTCTACAACATATTTATTAATCCGTAGTATCTAACTAGCGTGACGTCAAAAATCTCGCCACGAGGCTGTTCTATTAGAGACGGCATTGCGTCAGCATGGTCGCAAGTTGCTAACCTAATAAAATTAACACTAGAAAAACCCGCAGGGACTGTCAAATTCAAAGTTATTCGTTTCACAGACTATAGATGATCTATACTAACTTTGCTGTAAATATCGGAATCTTAAGTCATACAGGGTGTTCAAAATTCTACGCCGAACTTTCTAAAATATATAAAATAATTTTTCTTGTATTTTTTTTTAAAGAACATCCCGTATATTTGTTTTTTATTAGATGGAGAATGGTAAAATACGAGAGAAAGATCATTTGGTGGCTTTGATAAAAATTTACTGCGGAAAATGCCATATGAAATATAAAACCACAGATATTTGCAAAACCGTTAAAATTTTTGAAACGCTCTAAATACAAAAAAAATGTCCATTATCCATTATGTAAAATGATTTGAAAGGAAGCCAAAAATGCCATAATATACAGGGTGTTCCATTTTTAAAAAATCATCCCAATCAACCCACACTTTTTTGAGAGCTACCGTGTAAAGTTAAAATATTTTAGGTTTGGACTTAAACAAAATTGCCAAAATTTTTTATTTTAGGAGCTACAGATGCCCGACGCACTATTGCCGGACCCTGTAGAGTTTTGAATATCAGAACTCTCATCAAATTTTACAAAGAATTTAAATCTTCAAGAAAAAATTGGAGCATCCATTAAAAATAAAAAAGTTCACGAATGGTTATCTAAAATTATTTCTTACCTCTACAATGTCACTTTCGTTGCCACTCAGAATTTCTACACTGACATCTTCTCTTCCAAAATTCGTCTGCAAATTGTTCTTCGTTCTCTTTTCCGGATCCTGTATGGCCGTACTGTTCAGAATACCTAAAATTATTCTCAAAATAACCAAGAAAAATCTTCAAAAAAGCAATATAACAATTTACCTGCCGTGTTGAATTCAAACTGATGAGTGAATCTGTGATTCCTTGCTTTGGCAGAAGAATTCAAGGAATTCGTCGACAACTCTAGATCAGCTCTTCTTGAAACTGAATGGTTTGAATTATTGGTCTTCTGAAATAATTACAATAATGGTGTAAAGAATGATTTAAAAGTAAATGTGATGTATTATATGTCAAATTATATGGGGAGTGTCATCGATCTTCAGCGTAGTGGGATGGTTAGTTTTAAGAGACTCTTGAAAAATTAAATTATTCTATATCTACTTTTTACCTGTAGATCAGCTTGACGATCCATTGAATTAAAATTGAAATCTCCCAGTTTATTCTAATTTAAGAAAAGAATACATAGTTTAATATCAATTTAAAAAACAAAAATAATTCGCTCACTTGAAATGATGTTCTTGACTTTAAAGCTTGATCACTGTCTGAATCCTATAGAGTAAGAAAATGATAAATTGGCAAATGATTTTATGATTAAAACATAATAAAAATTGGCTTACATCTTCGTTTTCAACACCATGATCACTGTCGGGCTCATAAATCGAAGATTTTCTCTAAAACAATACATATTTTTTTTAATTCAAACCTTACCTTAGATCAAAACACTTACCCTTGTTGGTTTTGTATTCGACACATAGCTTGATCTCTAAAAAGTAAATTTTTATTGAAAAATAAAGTAAGAACTACTTCTAAATTATCTTTTACCTTTTCAAGCATTTCTTCCTCTTCATCTGAACTCTCTTCATTAAGGGAATCTTTCTATAAGTTAAAAAATATGAATATTTGAAGTACAAACAATAATTTTAGCGATATAACTAACTTGGCTTGTTCGTGAAGCTAGTAAACTTGGAGATCTCACTTTTGATTTGTTTACGCTTCTTTCAGGCACCTCCAATTTATTTGTACTGTTATTCGAAATATTCTGAGTACTTCCTTCACAATCTGTATCGCTGTCTGTGAGTATAGGCCTAGCTGATTTCTTAATGGGAAAAATGTTACTCTCGCGATTCGCTCTAGATTTCTCTACGTATGAGAAGGAAAGCCTGTTGGTCGCTTCACCTGATTCATCTATAACTAGGTCTACAAAAATAAAATTACTACTGAAGAACACAAGAGAAAATAATTATACGTACCACCTTCTGAAGAGTCCTTGTTTTTATTCTTAGGGGTATTGTATGAGTCGTCTTCATCATCTAAAACAACATTATTGGTAAGCAATCTGCTTGAAATATAGTTTAATTACTTACCAGAATAAATCACGTCGCTAGAACTATCCATTTTTAATATAAAATATAAAATTTAGAAGTTATTATTTGCCATAAGCGTGTCCTTGTAGTGTTTTAAAAGTAACTGACATAACTGTCAATAGTGTCAATGTCAACAAATGAGAGCCTAGCGTCCTCTGATAGTGAGTAGCTGTATCAATCGGTGCTCTGTCGATATCGATTCATTAATAAGCGGATAAGCGCCTCTGTCGGTCATTAAAGAAACCAAAAGAGCGTAAAATTGCGGATTTACTAATTTTTTTTGCAAGAAAAATTGTGATTTGGTTATAAAAAACTAATTTGTGCCGTGTAAAAATATTGTAGTGCTATTTTAGATGATATTTCGGTAAGTTTTATAAAGTTTGTTTCACCGCATGTAGTATTTTAAAGTAAATATTTGCAAATTTGTTCTTGTATGTTAAGGATAAAAAGTAGTCGCCATTTTGTCATTAACAATAAAATTAAATAAGCAGGAAAACTAATCTGTGCCGTGTAAAAATATTGTAGTGTTGTTTTAAATGATATTCCTGTAAGTTTCATAAAGTTTGTTTCACCGCATGTATTATTTTAAATTAAATATTTGCAGATTTGTTCTTGTATGTAAGGATATGGGAATTATTAAAAGGTAGTCGCCATATTGTCATAAACAATTAAAAAAGCAGGATCTAACAATTAAAACAAATACTTTATTTTTTATATTTTCGTGTGTTTACAATTATATATTTTTATTGCATTCAACTTTTCAATAAATATGTTTTTAGGGATTTCTTAAAATTTACGTTTATAAATAGAATTTATATACAAAAATCGCTCAAGAAAGTGTTATAATGAGAGAAACAATGTTAATTATTTTTTTATTGGACGGTAATAAACAAGTAACTAGATTTTTTAAAGAAATCATAACGGTATTCACACAGGGCTCTATTCTAAATTGTTATAAAGTATCTTACAATGATTCTTCAGGTAGGATAACAATGATGTTAGGAGATTCCACACACTAATATATGAATATACATATCTACAAGAGTTTATAATAGTTTTTGTCTTTTTTCTAGCTTATAATTGAATGCAAACTAAATGAGATGACGCGACAAATACTGAGTAATGATAAAAGTACTTAAAACTACTAAAATAAAGTTGAAAAACACTATAAATATTCAGTATATTTACTTTTTTTTGTTTCAATCTCTTTAAATTAGTAGTTTAAGAACAAATAAATGATTATTATTAATAATAATGCGACAGCCCACACAGCTAAGAATATCAGTCTTCAAAATTAACTAAACTAAAGTTTTTAAGGTTTTTATTTAAAAAAATCCAACTCACGAAAGTGATTTGGATTTTTTTGTTTTTTGGACTGATCGCATATATGTACATACATTCACACATTTTTCAAAAATTGAAAGTAAAATCCATATTTTTGAAAGAAAATTAATTTATTAGAACCAGTCAGCCTCTTGATAGTCTTGAATGTTTTTGGGATGTTAATATAAATAAATAAATTAAATAGAAACATTTTGTTTGGTCTTGATAAATTTTCTAGGAAATTTTGGAATATTCTTTTTTCGAAATAACTGTTTTGTGCTACAAGTTATAGATGTTTTAGTTTATCTGAGTATCATTGTCAGTACACTGAATATCAGCAATGGTAGAAATGATGTTTCCAACGTTGTTTTTGGTGATGATGATGATGTTATAAGTCCACATTCCTGTGGTCCGTAGTTTTGACAGTGGAGCTGAAAAAAGAATGACAAAATAAATATTTTTCCAATATTTTTTACCAAAAATGTGTTAATATAACATAGTTAATAACACTAAAATTATTAGATTAAGGTTTTTCTACATTTTATGTCCAGAATTTCAGCGATAGACATGCGAAAATGTTATTTCTCTGGCTACCGTGACGATACTTTTTTTCTAACGAAAAATTTAGTTTTCTTCGTATTATTTTCCGATGAAAATGAAACCGTATTTTGTTTGAAAATGGAAAATCAACATAGAATTTTTATTTCTTATATATATTTTCCGGAGATTTTTTACGGAAATGATTACTGTGAATATCAATTTTCCGTTTTTTATCTGTCGAACCCGAAACTTCAAATATGGCATATTTAATGCTCTATTGATTTTGATAAGGATACTATATACAGAGAAGTATAATTTATATTTTTTGACGGTAAAATCTTGTGGGATGTTTTCCCAAATTAAGAAAACGATTTTCCAGGCCAATAAATGCGAATTCTACGTGATTTTTCCAGATATTTTTGATTTATTTTCTCGTTTGTACAGGGTGTAAATAATAAAAGGCATTTCAAGTTCGAAAGTTGGTCGCTAGGGGACGTAATAGCAATACAAAGCAATTTTTATTAGCACACTGTATTTCTTCAATCGATAATATCCCTCCTATGTTGCTATAAAATGAACATATTTTTTGTTTTTAAACGGTTTTATTTAGCTCGACCCGTACGGTATTTATTTATTTGTTTGTTTATTTGGGTCAAAACTAGAAATTGAAATTTAAGTACCTTCCTGTTGTCAGACTGATCTGAAATTTTGTAGACACCTTTAGTTCCGATGACAATACAATATAGTAATATCAATAACATTGTAAATCTAAGATGGCCGCCGGTACAAAATGGCGGATTTCATATTTTTCCACAACCCCCTCAATATGGGTATCAAATGAAAGGGCTACACTAGTAGAATACTGTGATTATGACAAAATTTAAAATCCAAGATGGACGTCGTTACAAAATGGCGTATTAGGTGAGGGCATGAGCAGTCGTGTCCAGAACAGTTGTGTCCAAGATTGTGTGACGTTAGAAGGACAGATAAAAAAAATAGGTGATTAGATGTATCTACGTAGTTAGCGGTAGCTTTACCACCCAAGTTAAGGTAATAGGTTAAAATGTGCTGAGGACTGTATGGCATTAGGGTGGCTAAAAATGTAATGTCGCAAGCGTTTCCCCTCAAGATTGGGCGCCTCTTGTTGTATATTATAGCTTTGCCCCTCTACTGGACCTCTGGGGTCGACCGTTAAAATGTCCATTACTCGTGGGAACAACATGGAAACAATAAATAAAAACACAAACAAAAATAAAAACGAAACTGCTACACAACGAAAAAGAAGGCTCGAAAAGGCGAAAGAAAAGTATAGAACGAAACGTGCAAAAGAAAGTGAAAATGAAACTTATAGTCGACTACAGAAACGAAGAGAACGGTTAGCAACAGAAACACCTGAGCAACATGATGCCAGGTTAATAGCACAACGTGAGAGACAAAGGCAGCTGGTAGAGTCAGAAACACCTGAGCGTCATGAGTCCAGGCTAGCATCACAACGTGACAGACAGAGAGAGTTGTTAGCGGCAGAAACACCTGAGCGTCATGAGTCTAGGCTAGCATCAGAACGCGACAGACAGAGAGAGTTGTTAGCGTCAGAAACACCTGGGCGTCATGAGTCTAGGCTGGCATCACAACGAGAGAGACAAAGAGAGTTGTTAGCGTCAGAAACACCTGAGCGTCATGAGTCTAGGCTAGCATCAGAACGCGACAGACAGAGAGAGTTGTTAGCGTCAGAAACACCTGAGCGTCAGATTGTAATAAATTATCAGGTAAAAAAACATGTAATAATGATGCACTAAATGAATTAAATAGAATGAGGAATATTCGGTAGGCATTTCCGTTAAATACTAAAAACTAGAAAATAAAAAATCGGTAAAAAAACTTTTAGGTTAAACGGTTTTATCTTATGTGCACTGAAAACTAGAAAATAATAATAACAATTAGGTATTTTGAACTTCTAGTTCAGAAATACTTTAGTACTAGGCAGAATAGCTTTTAGGCATATTAGACTAAAATAATAAAAAATCGGTAAAAAAACTTTTAAGTTAAACGGTTTTATCTTATGTGCACTGAAAACTAGAAAATAATAATAACAATTAGGTATTTTGAACTTCTAGTTCAGAAATACTTTAGTACTAGGCAGAATAGCTTTTAGGCATATTAGACTAAAATAATAAAAAATCGGTAAAAAAACTTTTAAATTAAACGGTTTTATCTTATGTGCACTGAAAACTAGAAAATAATAATAACAATTAGGTATTTTGAACTTCTAGTTCAGAAATATTTTAGTACTAGGCAGAATAGCTTTTAGGCATATTAGACTAAAATAATAAAAAATCGATAAAAAAAATTAAGTTAAACGGTTTTATCTTATGTGCACTGAAAACTAGAAAATAATAATAACAATTAGGTATTTTGAACTTCTAGTTCAGAAATATTTTAGTACTAGGCAGAATAGCTTTTAGGCATATTAGACTAAAATAATAAAAAATCGATAAAAAAACTTTTAAGTTAAACGGTTTTATCTTATGTGCACTGAAAACTAGAAAATAATAATAACAATTAGGTATTTTGAACTTCTAGTTCAGAAATATTTTAGTACTAGGCAGAATAACTTTTAGGCATATTAGACTAAAATAATAAAAAATCGATAAAAAAACTTTTAAGTTAAACGGTTTTATCTTATGTGCACTGAAAACTAGAAAATAATAATAACAATTAGGTATTTTGAACTTCTAGTTCAGAAATATTTTAGTACTAGGCAGAATAGCTTTTAGGCATATTAGACTAAACTAAAAACGTGGGGGCCATTAACTATTGCTGTAATACTTTCTTCTATACTAAGTGTGGATTGCATCGACTTACTATAATCGTAACTGGAGATTTTGACAATCAATAACCAGCCGTGGCGGCTTCACCAGCGAACGCCGAGCTCATGATCTACCAAAGTATAAAGATATGCTTTGCCATAGGTAGGATTTCAGAGGGGCCCCACGTTTTTATTTTAGTCTAATATGCCTAAAAGCTATTCTGCCTAGTACTAAAATATTTCTGAACTAGAAGTTCAAAATACCTAATTGTTATTATTATTTTCTAGTTTTCAGTGCACATAAGATAAAACCGTTTGACTTAAAAGTTTTTTACCGATTTTTTATTTAACTAAAAAAACATTATTTTTTTCAAAAAGTACCAAATTTTCAAAATGTTTCTTGTTTCGGGTAAAAAAATCTCATGGGCGTGTTTCTGGGGTCGAAATATACCACCCCTAAAAATATTTGTACTTATTTAAGACCCACCCTGTGTATTTAAACTGAATTAACAATTTTAAATTAAAAAAAAATTCTGGAGAAAAATTAATGTTACGACTGGTATTTTAATAACTATTTCCAACAAAGAAAAATCATATCATGGTCTATATCACGTTTTGTTTGTTCAGTTTTATTGGAAACTATTATATGTTTTCTATAGTAACCCAATGTAATAATGGCACACGTTGATTTTTTTCTACAGCATTCATATATTTAGATTTTTATCATTAAATAGACAGACCCCCAATTTATCCATTTATGTCCTTACTAACAAGGAAGGCAAGATAAATGGACAAAATGGAGACCATTTAGGAATACATTAACTATACAGAGCGTCTCTTAAATCAGTGCAAGTATTTTAACTGGTAGTATGGAATTTTGAATTCAAAAACACGAAATGTTTTTTTGAAATTTCTTGGCGGCCTTGCAATATTGCCACCTCCTACTTTAGCCATATTCTATATATTTCGGTGTTTATAAGTTCAGAATAATTCCAATTTTATTCACAATTTTTTTAACTCACCTGTATCATTGAGGATGACATTTTATCCAGGAACTTCTTGCTAAAGTCCGCAGCGTCGTTGCCACAGATTTGCCTTGTGGTTGACGTAGAACATTCAACGTATTCTTGAAAAGCACTGTAACAAAGGAAAGAAATAATATTATACAAATTGTTTTTTTTGTCAAAAATTTTTGTAACAATAATTTTTTTAAAAAATATACGGCTTTCTTCTTCGTTTCGTTCTCAATTAGTAAAAGTTTTAAAAAAAAATACTAATTAATTTAAAATTATTTAGATATAAAATTATTTAAAATTGACATTTAACCCCTCCCCAACCCTCCAAACGTCTTGCAGGGGCACGTCTCAGTGTCGTAAGTCATTCGATTTACGGTCGGGTGGGGTAAGTGCAGAGAGGGTGGCTACGAAAGGGGGGGGTGGGGACAGCGACATTTCCTAATATGTACGTGATCCAGTTTAAAAGAAAATAAAATTTAGGAAAATTCTATTTTATCGCAAATGCATTTGGGAAAACGACTCTACTATCGAAAGATAGATGATATAAGAGGTTTCCTCCATTTTTACGGTTGTTTTCTTTTAGTGGTACAGGGTGAGTCAAAAATTAGTTGTGTGTCAAAAATGTTCTAAAATGCTTAGTTTGGGAGATACAGGGTGTAAAAGTTTCATTTATATTTCGATTTTTTCCAAATAATTTCTAAATTAACGTCAATTTTTTTTATGAAAATTGGTGTCTGGGAGTTTTTTGACATTTGATTTTGATGTCCATATGACTCCTACTTGTAGAGGGCGCCACATACATATTTTTAACTGATGTGAAGAGTAATAACTTTTTGTCCGTACCTGTATAAAACTATCTCTTGGTACGAATCACTACGAGCAACCGTTCAACAGCATATTTAAAATGTAAATACTCAATACGTGTCCTTAATGGCAAAAAATAAACATGTTGAGGAGAGATAGTAGTTATTTGAATGAAATGATAAATTTGGGAAGTTTTTATTTTTTTAAATTAATTATAGATTTTTCTATTATAGATTATAGTTTCTGTTGAATTTTTGGTACAAAAACCTTTCAAATTAATGAGATCTAGATGTTTTCCGTTTACCTATTTATTTCTTTTCAACATCCAGAACTTTGGTTTAGTTATGGTATGTGTGTAATAACTTTTTGACAGCAAAATTGCTTTAAACTGAGGCATCCTTAATTAAAAAAAAACAATAATTATTCATACTACATATTTTAACAATTTTTGTTGTACAAAACTGCCACAAACCTTCATATTGTCTTCTTTTTGCATAAAAATCCTTCATATTGAAGGAAATCTTTCAATTTTGGCAACATTGGACACAATAGATTTTTAAGATCGCGTTGATTAACCGGCCCCATACCATACATTCTACCACTTCTACATTCTACAAACCGTTTTTTTTTATCAAATAATGATTAATTTTACATTGTTTTTTGGTTCGAAAAAAAAAACTAGATAAGCTTTAAAACGCACAGGAAATTTTGTAGGGCTAGCAAGCGACGAAACGGCGTTTTTTTTCTAACTTTTAACCCTAAAACAACGTGTAACGGTTCAGAAAAGACTTTTAAACGCGCTATTAATATGTAAAAATCTGAAACGGCCCTTTTTATCGTCCCCTACACGGACCATTTAAAAATAATCTAATATCGCCTGAGAACGGGCGCCAAAAATGCCCGAAACGAGGTCCCGCTCTTTGTTTTTCCCGTTTTAATTTCATCCTTTTCACTTGAGCCCCTCGACGCCTTTTTTTGGTCTTTTTTTCGTGTATTTCTCGTATGAAATTTTGTCCTTTGTAAAGCTGATTGAAAATTTTATAAATTATGATTTTTTCTTATCGCTGGAACACGAAAAATCTTAAAATTTTTACTTATAGAGTTTCGTAAAATAGATATTTTTACGGAAACCAATTTTTTTTCTCTTTAGAGAGAATTCTGTATTTTTTTATTTTAGACAAGAATCACTGAAAAATTTTTTAAAAATGTAAAAAAATTGGTACTTAGAGTTCCGTAATTCTAATACATTTACGGAGTTTTTTTTTAAATTTTATATTGAAGAAAAAGTATCTATATTTATCCTGGCTTTGTAAGGCTGATTGAATATTGTATAAATTATTTTTCCTTATCGCTGGAACACGAACAGTCAATTTCTTAGTTTTAGAATTCCGTAAAAGAGATATATTTACGAAAACCAATTTTTTTCTCTTTAGCGAGTATTCTGTATTTTTTTATTTTAGACAAGAATCACTGAAAAAATTTTGAAAATTACTCGGAAAAATATTAAAAAAATTGGTACTTAGAGTTCCGTAATTTTAATACATTTACGGAGTTTTTTTTAAATTTTTCTAATGAAGAAAAAGTATCTATATTTATCGTGGCTTTGTAAGGTTGATTGAAAATTTTATAAATTATGATTTTTTCTTATCGCTGGAACACGAAAAGTCAATTTCTTAGTCTTAGAGTTCCGTAATAGAGATATATTTACGGAAACCAATTTTTTTCTCTTTAGAGAGTATTCTGTATGTTTTTTAATTTTAAACAAGAATCACTGAAAATTTTTGAAAATTTAAAAAAAAAATATACTTGAGTTTCGTAATTATACTATATTATAATAAAAAGAAAAAAGTATCTATATTTATCGTGGTAGAGATGTAAAGACAAAAGACGTAACACACATAGATAGAGATATTTAAAGAATAAATACCGTTTTCCAAGAAGAAAACTTGAAGTAAAACTTGCTTTAAAGTACGATTAAGTGTGGCGCAGCGCGTTTTGCTCGTATATTCCGGAATATTGTCTTGTTTACGTTCTTAAATTGTCTCTATGATCGTGATATTTGTTGCTAAAGCCTTTGCAGGCTCGTATTTCCTTTTTAAATGATTCACAGACGTCCGTAAAAATAGAACGAGATCAATTTTTATAGTTTGGTTAGGGCTAAACAACGGAATTACCCATAGAGATATTCTTTAAAAATTGTAGACTTTTGAATATAACTTAATTTTTTAACCCAATAATTTTTTATAATGACAAATAAATATGTCAAAATTACGGAACTCTATATTTTATATTTTTCAAAAATTTGTCAGTGGTACTTGACTAAAATAAAGAATTTACGGAATGCTCCCTAAAGAGGTAAAAAACATTATTGGTTTCCGTAAATATATTAAATTACGGAACCCTTTATTATTTTATACTCCATTTTTTTTCAAGTAAAATGTTCGGAGAATATTGTTTGTTCTTTATTAATTTCCGTAAATGTATATAAATTACTCTTAGGTTTTCGTAATATAGGTTTATTTTTTTTTAAATTTATCAGTGAATAAACTAAAATAAAAGTTGCAAAGTAATCTCTAAAAGTACGAGAAGATTTTTTTGTTTATTGGTTTCCGTAAATATATTTTCATTACGAAACTCATAAAAAAGTTTTTATTTTTTTTTTGATTAAATCTATATTTTCAAATACGGTTGCAAAACACTTTTTGTTCATTATTGGTTTCCGTAAATATATCAAAATTACGGAACTCAAAATTCGTTTTTTCATTGATTTTCGTAAATATATCTAAAAACTAACGTATTTTTATACATCGATAAAAAAATAAAAATAGGGGTTTTATTTCTTAAAAATGCTTACCAACAAACGTTTTTGATGCCTTCATCGGCAGCATCTCTCTTTCTTTTTTGGAAAGACTTGTAGGCGATGAGGTCTTCTTCAGAAACATTATCAATGGGTGTTTTGGCCTGTATATCGCTCATATTTTTGGTGTACTTCTTGAAACAGATTTCGTTCTGCGGTTCGACGGTTTGCATACAAGGTGCGTGTTTCAAATATTCTGAAAAAGAAAAAAATGTATTTTTATATAATTATTCAGTACCTATGTTGCCATTATTATGGTTTTTAACTATTTTTTTAAATTTTAATTTTTTTAACTACCCCTAAAAATATTTGCACTTATTTGACTCATCCTGTATAGATTTAGGTTAATTTTAGTCAACTATACGTAAAATAAATAAACGTATTTCCGGAATATCCCGCTTTTTTCGTAAAACGGAATATTTTATATATTTCCCAAACATAGAGGGATTAAATACTATTTGCGTGCGTTTGTATTTTTCCGAATATTATTAGATAATTCGAACAAAAAAAAAATGAACGTAGCAGCAATTTAAAACGGAATTATTTATATATACGAATTATTTCGAATTTGTAAATAGTGGAAAACATTTATTATTTAAATTTTTCGCTTGGCGCTCTAATAAAATTAACAGTAATGTTGTATTTAATTAAAAACTCGCTCGTTTATAATGTTTTAATTCGAACCGATATATAATTTTAGTTTTGCCGACGCATCGGCCTGTTTCCATTTATTTTTGTTTGTTTTTCATTTTCCCAGTTCGATAAAAAAACGGACATTTTTTTTCCGGCAGCAAAACACGCTAAAAAATACTATTTCTGCAAATAAAATTCTTTTATTTGGTTTGGTTTTTGATTAATTTGTATTAAAAGGCTGCAGAGAACATCTAAATTATTAGTACCAAACGAAAAAAACGGCGTCGAAGATGCCCGAGGAATAATTTTGGCGAGGTCAAGCCCTAGGCGTCATTTCCCAACTTGAATTTTTAGTCGGTTGGTTACACGCTAAAAAATACGAATCCTACAAATAAAATTCTTTTATTTGGTTTGGTTTTTAATTAATTTGTATTAAAAGGCTGCAGAGAACATCTAAATTATTAGTACCAAACGATCGAAAAAAAAAACGGGCGTCAAAGATGCCCGAGGAATAATTTTGGCGAGGTCAAGCCCTAGGCGTCATTTCCCAACTTGAATTTTTAGTCGGTTGGTTACACGCTAAAAAATACGAATCCTACAAATAAAATTCTTTTATTTGGTTCGGTTTTTAATTAATTTGTATTAAAAGGCTGCAGAGAACATCTAAATTATTAGTACCAAACGATCGAAAAAAAAACGGCGTCAAAGATGCCCGAGGAATAATTTTGGCGAGGTCAAGCCCTAGGTGTCATTTCCCAAGTAGCATTTTTAGTCAACTGTCGACAACGCCAATCAGAACTTGTGGTCGAAATGATTAGAACATTATTATTTACTTATTATAACAGAATTGAAACATAAAAACATGTATTCCAGTGTGGAAAAAAGAGTAAAAAACCTTGGAGTTAATGTTAGTTACAGAACATCGTTCGAAAAATCTGTATCTATATGTATTAATGCTCTAAGGTCTGGTAAGGTTTGTATAACATTTATCGAGTACGTTCTAGGGAAAGATGGGTAAAGGCATTTAAGTGGTCTTACCTTCCTGGTAGGTTCCATTCCTGCACAAGTTGTTGACCATTTCGGCGGTACCGTGGAACAGCTTCTTGAAATGCTTTCTGTCGTTGAAGTTCATGCAGAAGCGCGTGTACTGGTGGATGCATTTGATCGCTTCTCTCAGGTCCCTGAAAAAGGAAACATGAGTATCAGTATACAGGGTAATTAGTGAATACTTTTAAAAATAAAAAAATGTATCTTCATTGGGACAAACACAATCTACTGCTAGTACCAGTGGTGTGTGTAAAAATAATAATTATTATTTGCCATTTATTTTACGAATTTTAGTTTATATGTGTATAGTTATTTTATGTTGTATTGTTGTGATTACTTGTTATAGTTTTTTATGTTGTAGTGTTGTGGTTACTTGTTGTAATTATAATATAATACTAGCTTTTTCCCGCGACTACGTTCGCGTTACACCTCGAATCGTTCATGCATTGATTTCAATGATTGTTTACTTCTTTGTAGATAGAACTAGTGAGCCTTTCAAATGCAATATTTGAACTATGTTTTTAAGAGTTTTAGAGCTACTTGTATTCCATATGAAAGTTAGCAATTGTCGAAACTTCTTCAGCAAGTTAAGTAAACATTCAAGGCCGTGACATACGAGCTAGTGAGACGGCCCTGACACACGAGCTAGTTGTAACGAAACGTGTTAACGGCTTAGAAATACGTACTGACGCGACGTAATTAATAATTACGCATATCAAAAATATTGATATTTTAATACAAATTTTTTAAAAGTGAATCAAATTATTACGTGTAAAAAACCATTGGTTACACGTAAAAAACTATTTTTATTATTTTACGCGAATAAAACTGTTATATGTAAAAAACTATTTTTTACGCGTATAAAACTATTTTTACTGGTAGAAAACTATATTTACGCGTATAAAACTATTTGTTAAACGTAAAAAACTATTTTTTACGCATTAAAAACTTATTGTTTCTGGTAAAAAACATTTTTACGCAAAAAGAAATATTTTTTACGTGTAAAAAAATATTTGTTACACGTAAAAAACTATTTTTTACGCGTTAAGAACTTATTGTTTCTGGTAAAAAAACTTATTTACCCAAAAAAATATTTTTTACGTGCAAAAAACTATTTGTTACACGTCAAAAAACTATTTTTTTACGCGTCGAGAACTTATTTTTTACGCGTATAAAACTATTTTTACTGGTAGAAAACTATTTTTTACGCGTATAAAACTATTTGTTAAACGTAAAAAACTATTTTTTTACGCATCAAAAACTTATCGTTTCTGGTAAAAAAACATTTTTACGCAAAAAGAAATATTTTTTACGTGTAAAAAAATATTTGTTACAAGTAAAAAACTATTTTTTATGCGTTAAGAACTTATTGTCTCTGATAAAAAAACTTTTTTACGCAAAAAAAATATTTTTTACGTGTAAAAAACTATTTGTTACACGCAAAAAACTATTTTTTTACGCGTCAAAAACTTATTGTTTCTGGTAAAAAACTTTTTTGCACAAAAAAAATATGTTTTACGTGTAAAAAACTATTTGTTACACGTAAAAACTAATTTTTACGCGTCAAAACCATTTGTTTCTGTTAAAAAAACCTTTTTTACGCAGAAAAAAAAAACACTTTTTACGCAGAAAAAACTATTTTTTACGCGTAAGAAAATATTCCCTTAATTTATTACTTTTTCAACATTTCTTAATAGAATCTTCCTAAACAGTAGATATGCTCTATAAAAATATTTTTAGATAATATCCTAAACTGAAAAAAATGCTATTACTATTTAATTTATTTTTATTCTATTATTAAATATCACGTTCGCCTATGACGGGGTCTCATAGAAAACGCTAAAGACGCTACAGAAAACAAATGGATTTGTTTTCATTTGCGTTTTTTGCGAGACACGCCGACCGCTAGACGCTTTTGGTGGGGCCACTCCTATATAATCCTGTCATTTTGTTTTAGACGCAAAAGACGCTTCACGCTAAAAACGCAAAAAACGCTTTCTGTGTGGCCGTGCACTAAAACTTATGATGTTTTTTACACGAGATACCCTCTATATTATCTTATTATTTTATTTGCCTTGTAAGTTATTGAAAAATAAAAACCCCACTAAATCAAAACCTTACTTTCGATAAGTTATTATTTAAGTCATAAGAAAAAAACATTTTTATCATTTTTTTTTTCAAAAACAACTCATAAGCGTATTTTTGAGGTCGAAATATATTACTTAAAAGACACCCTGTACAACAAAACATCTAAAAACACGGAACAGAGTTCAAATACGTTTGAAATATAGGCGAATTGCTCCTTTAAGTGACAGTGAAGTATATTTCATCATAAACGTGAGATAGACGAAGCTCTCGATTTTATATATCCATACCTTCCATACCGTTTGGTTCGCATATATGAAAGCCTTTTTTTTATTATTTTTATGGTCTGTCTTAAAAAAGTGGTAACTCTGTATCGAGAAATCGTGGGAAAATACAGGAAAACACCATATATTTGTTGTTTTATTATATTTTTTATAGATGATCTGATACCTCTGGGAGTAATAAGAGGGTAATAATGTTGAGAAATAATGTAGGGCTTCCATTATCATCAAAAAATACCTATTTAATTTGGAGTTATTGTCTTACTAAGAAAAAAACAATCCAGTCCAAAAAACAGCTAAATTTACAAAAAAAACTTTGGATTTCATGATTAATTAACTAAAGATTGAACGAATAATAAAAATTGGTCAAGGGTGCACGAAGGGTTCCATACCATTCATTATCTATACAACATTGTACACTATATTATTATAAACTTTTTTCCGATTTACCTGAAATTTTGAACGCGCATATAAGTAATTAAAAAAAATAAAGAAACACATTACTAAAAACTGTATTAATCAATAATAAATATGTAAAAAGTAAAAATAAATATGTAAAAATTAAAAAAAAACGATTAAAAAAAAGTCGCCTTGACTAGGATTCGAACAACAGCGTAAAGTCCTAACGCTTTAACCAAGCGGACACCGAGGACTCGAAAGATTCTATGTAAAATTCTTACTTAAAAGATAATGTTTAGTGAAAGTACTTTTTTATTTATAAACATTTATTTAATTCCGTTTTTAGTATTTGTTCTTATAGCGGCAACATAGATACATTATCTGTAAAAATTTCAACTGTCTAGCTATAACGGTTCATAAGATAGACCTTTGTGACAGACGGACGGACGGACAGCGAAGTTTTAGTAATAGGGTTTCCGTTTTACCCTTTTCCTAAAAATGAATCGTGAGATGCGATTCATTATAAAAAATTGAACCCTGTGATTCACAAAAAAGAATCGTAATGCCCATCACTACTGGTGAAAATATAATCTTCTCTCTAAAAGAGTAAATTACGTCTTTTTTCTGTGACATTGGAACTGGAACAAGATTAAAATAAAGGAACAATGATCCTTATCCCCATTTCTTAGTCGTTACAATAAAGAAGCTGGCTGGTTTAAAATTCGCAAAATGTTGTCGTTGTCTCCGCGACTCTGTCTGGCACACATCAATTTCAATTTCCATAATTTGCCAGAGCCATGCGGTCTCCTCTAATTCGCTCTGGTGTTCGATTAAAATCCAGAGAAAATAGCGTTTCATCGGTCGGATCTTTTGGGACGGAAAACCGGAGAAAAATGTACAGGGACCGGTCAAAATGATTAGAAAATTTATTCTGGAAGCTTATATGTTCATAGGAACTTTTTCTTTTATTTTTATCTGTAGAATGACCTACCGAGGTTAGATACACTATTTTTGACACCCTGTACATACAGAAAGGTCCACAGACTTCGAGACATAGGAAAAATCAAGTCTATTTAGCGTGTGTCGCAATTTTCACACCTTAAAAAATTAGTTTTTTATAGCTGTAGCAACTGCAGCGACTATGAAAAAAGCTGTGTGATTTTCATAGAAAATAAGGGCACCTGTAATTCATTTGAGAATGTTATAAATCGCTAAAAGAGGTTTCAAATCTCTTAGATTTCTATTAATATTTAATAAATTTTATTAAAAATTGAACTAAAATTGTTAGTATCATTAAAAACAATTCAAATTCAAAAATTGTATCAGTCAAATTCCCTCATTTAAGGTGACTATTAAAGTAAATATAAATACAGCTCATTCTAAGCTCTACTTATCTTTAAGAAAAATTTAAATCATTGTTGCAATTGGGCCTTAATGCCATTTCGAATGAACAATAGTATTAATAATGTACATTATAATAATAATAAATTTTATATCATAGTGTGTATTAAAACTACTAAAACACTTTTAAATTGGTATTATATTAACAACTTTTGTTTTTTAATCCAAAAAAAGTTACCAATTTTCTCAATCAAAATATTTGTGGTCCTGAAAAGGACCTTCGTTTTCCCATGGGTAAACGGTAAAAAAACAGGATAATGAAATTTAAAAAAATACAAAAATTGTTCAAAAGTGCCTCCCTCTTGCATTAAACCAAACGATCATAAAATCCCCTCCTCACATTGGATAACATATCAGGGGCGACAGTGTCAAAGACATTAAATATTTTCTGCCTTAACTGCTCCAAGTTTTGAATTTCTTCATGGCCGCAAATTTTAGATTTTATGTACCCCCATAAAAAGAAATCATTCACCGAGAAGTCAGGTGAAATTAAACGTCAGTCTAAACAAAACTGTCATTTTTGAAAACGTGTCAAAATTTGGACACACGCTAAATGGACTTGATTTTCCTATGTCTCGAAGTCTGTGGACTTTTCTGTATAATCTCGCAGTAATTTAATAGATTGCTCGTCATATTATATCAGCTCGTAGGAGATTAGGGAAAAAAAAGATATTTATAGTATAAAAAACTAATTTATTTAACAAAATTTAATTAAAGATGTGACAAAATAGTTACATTTCTATTGGTTCTATCGGACTTTTTTCGACTATATAAATCTTTATTTTTTGTAAACTTTAATACATAAAATATTTTCAATCTAATAAATAATTTAATGATGTAAATAAGAGGAAATTTCTCACATGGGTGGTCAAATTCTATAGTTTTCATTATATCAAATAGCCTCTGAATGTTTTCTTCAGTGCAAAACTCAATCAAAATTTAATATAAATAATTGTTCCAGCCTGTAAATAAAATGAATAAATTTTTCCACTTTCATGATCAAAGGCTTTTAAATGGGTAAATAATTTCGAGTTATCCAGAGATTCGGATTCTTTTGCAAATTTTAGACAAATATCACACTGATGTATTTGAAGACCCTTTTTAATGATGTAGTCAAACATAATTAAAGGCATTTTGAAATAATAATGAAAACTATAAAATTTGACCACCCATGTGAGAAATTTCCTCTCAGATTGAAAATATTTGATGTATTAAAGTTTACAAATAAAGATTTATATAGTCGAAAAAAGTCCGATAGAACCAATAGAAAGGTAACTATTTTGTCACATTTTTAATTAAATTTTGTTAAATAAATTAATTTTTTATACTATAAATATCTTTTTTTCCTTATAAATAAACACATTTGCATCCCATTTTAAATAAGATATACAAATTACCAAAACTTAGAAATAACAGTTCAAAAGTTCAACAAAAATCCTACACGCGTTTTTAAAAAGAAACATATAACCACGCACTATGTCATTCCAGCAAGCGAATACGACACAGCATAGGTTTCCGGACTAAACGACTGGTGTATTTACACCACTCAATAGGCGTGTCGGGTTTGCCGAGCGGTTTCCGATGCAGTCGCTTTCTTTCGCATCTGTTATAGGTAATTTGTGACACTGTATAGAAATAAATTATTTGTTCCATTTTGATATACGTTGTATACATCTGGCTATTGTACCGTCTGTCCATTTTACCATTAAACCAGCGGACGTGTTCGAAGGAAATAATGCCGTGTACACACGTTTAGAAGGATATTACAGATAAACAGCTAACCGATGGGCGGGCATTAAGAAAGGGGTGGGTTTTGGCGGTCTTGGAAAACTCCTCATGCCGGAATTTATGTGCTACAATTATAGGGAAGGAGCAGGTAGAATAGATTTGTGGTAGGACGTGTAAAAATACCATCGATAACTTATTTTTAACTAACATTTTTTGGTTTATTTCTGTTTGGAAGTTAAAAACAAAATAAGATATTATTATTTTGATTATGTTTTCCAGCAGGTGAATCCAAGAACGATAAACTAATAGGATTGCTCATCCTCATAAGACGTACGTTCGCCTCTTCCCGCGCTTCAGCTGACAGTTGTGACATTATTGTAGCCCTTGTCAAAGCCTTCGTGGCCTTGTCATGATAGTGTGTATTATTAGTTGCCTATGGTAAACTTATAAAAATAACAGCTGAGAAATGTTGAGTTAATTATTTTGTCAATTTTAAATGTGAAAAAGGTGTCTTTAAAGTTTTTAGAGCTATAGAGTGTATAAATACGTTCATTTTGTGTTGTGGATTGTGACAAAGTGCATACTAAGTGTTCACGACTTTGTTTATTAATTATTTTAAAGCAGAATATGGAAGTACTCTAAAAAGAATGCTTGCAAAAGGTGATGCTGGGAAGTGCTGTTCTTAAAAATGCATTATCCGAGTATTTAATACGATTTATACAGTTAATTTTCTATACTGCATACATATAAGGTGTTTAAATAAATAAACTAAATAATGAACGTTTTGCATTCGGTAACCAATAATGCACGTGTGTGTATTATTAGTTGCCGGATAAGGACTGACAACCATGACAAGGGCTACAATGACGTCACAAAGCGAGTAGTTTTCGCATGCACCTGGCGGACACAGTGGGCTGAATGAGCAGTCCTATTAGGTTAACTGTTCTTGAGGTGAATCTATAATCGAATTACAATAATTATTGAATTTTCGATTGAGATTATTAAAATACTTTTATTACTTTCTAACTTTCTTTATAATTTTTTTTTGTTATTTTAACGCGTCTGTCAAATTTTCTCACTGCGAAAATTTTCAAAAACGGTTTGGTCTCTTTTTTTCATCTGTCTCCATAAAATTAATGACTTTAATTTTTGTCCTATTGGGAAATGATTTTTTTTTCAAACGTCACAAAAGTATTAATATTTTCAACGTGATTTACAATATAAAATAGTTATTTTTTATACAAGACGGAAAAGATTATTTCAAGGAATACGAGTAGAAAAAATATTGTGCTGAGTTGGCGTTGGTTTCTATGTAATTTGACAAATAAATATGCAAATAAATAAAGATGTCTCTTTAGTTGTCAGTTTTGAATCAATATTTTTTAATTCTCTTTCGTGTCGATTGCTGATTGAATTGGAGACAGAAATGGCTCAAAACGAAACAAGTAAATTACCAACAGATATTCAACCTGAGGCGACAAACGCCATATCCAAACTACTTCCACTTAAATCCCGAATAACTTATGAAAAGGAATACAAAAATTTTCAAAAATGGAAGCAATTAAAAAACGTGCGAGAAGAAATAAAGAGTGTTTTTTAAAAAAAATTCTGTGTTGATTAATTTTAACCAGTCTGATGTCACTTTTTTCTTTTGCGAAAATTTTCAAAAATGCTTTGATCTCACATTGTCTTTTCAAAGACCACCATACCGGCGATTTTTTTCTCGATCGGATGGTATAATCCATTTTTTAACCCCACTATCTTTTTTTTTTAACAAAAAAAGACACCAGAGGCACTTTAAAAAGACTGGAAGTGGGAAATTTTAATTATGGATTGAAGTTTTAATTTCAATTTCCGGAGAGTATCGTCAGCCCGATTATGTGCCAGCATAAAATGAAATTTTCAGCCGTTGCGCGGTATTTTCCTAGCGAATTTCCCACCGAAAAGAAAACTCGACCTCAATTATACGTGTCGAAATATTTCTCAATTTAATGAGGAAGAAAAGCGCTAAAAAAGCGAGCCTTGTATACGAAATAAATAAATTCTGTGTCGTAAAGGACTTCTAGAGACGTCTTTATAGATAACTCTATTTTTACTGATTTCTCTGATAGTTATACCGGGTGCGTCTCAAAAGTGGCTCGAATAAAAACGAAATTTGGTAGGTTGGTATATGACATAAATTAGGATTGATTAACATATTCTGTTGTTTTCGGCCACTTCCTGTTTCACCGGAAATGACTACAACTTTTGATTTTTAAATGGCACCCTCGGTATTTTTTTACTTTATTCGATAGAAAATGACACTCTGAGTAGCATGACATCGCTTAAAACAAAATTGTATTTTAAATTTCAATCTAGGGTGCCATGACTGTGATAAAAACACTAATTTTTAATCAAAAGTCTTTAGTTTTTAGTGTCTTGTCCTGAAATTGTATTTTTAATCACATCTCCACTTTTTCAAATGGAACGAGGGTGGCTCATTAGCATATTTGGAAAAAGCATTTTTTTACGAATAATTTGATACCACACACTTGGTATTTAGAGTCAAATTTTCTTTACGAACCGCAAGTTATAATTTCAAATAAACCATATGCGAAAATGTCAAAAGTTCATTCTATTCAGAGTGTCATTTTCTATTGAATAAAGTAAAAAAATACCGATGGTGCCATTTAAAAATTAAAAGTTGTAGTCATTTCCGGTGAAACAGGAAGTGACCGAAAACAATTGAATATGTCAATCAATCCTAATTTATGTCATATACTAACATACCAAATCTCGTTTTTTTTAACTGAAAAATTAAAAAAGTTATAGGGGTGAGCCACTTTTGAAACGCACTCGGTACAGACAATCATACCACAGGATAATACAGGAAACATTCGGTTTTTGAATTTTTCTATAATATTAGTGTTAATTTTTGCCTTTGAATTAGTAAAGTTTTTTTGTGAATTTTTAGTAAATGATATCTAAAGACTGACTTTGCCAAAATTATCGTTGATTGTCATTTCCTAGCCGCTTTTGACGCCGCACGGTGGGGTATTAGCATGAAAAAGGTAAATGATAAGTTAAATCATGTCTGCCATGAATGGCGTTGCTATAGGTGTGTTTAGTTGCATTCATTTGTTTCAACGAAACGTCAAAGTTGTTACTTCTCACAGATAAGAGGTACTAAATGGCTAAATTTTATGTTTAAAATTATAAATTGTTGTTGTGCTTGTGCTCTTTTTACGTTTATATTATTGTTTTGATTGAAAATGGCTCAGCAAGCTGCAGGTATAGGTATATTCTACAAAAACGTATTATTTATTTTGATATTCTCTATACTAACGATTTTTTTTTGCAACTAAAAGTTAGGCGTTCAGAAAATTTGATTACATTTGTGACATTTTTATTATACTTAGAGATTTAGTTGCGCATTTCGAAGAATTCAGCATATTGTCTATATACGTTTTACTTAGTAAACATTGGGCTTTCATACAGTAAAATAAAATACTGCGACTTTTTGCGACTTTGCTGATAAAATGAGAAAAATATTCTTGGTTTCATCTAATTTGCCAATCAGTGATATACTAATGCGAGGTGTAAACCGCGATGGCATTGTTGTGTACAAAGCGATCGCATTAGTGCTACTAGCAGTATAGCAGAATTTGGCATTAGTAGCGACTTTAGTCGTCTGGGCATTGCTCGCGGATCAGTCGTAGCGTTAGTAGTATTAGTTGCGATATTACTACTGGCATTAGTGGCATTGACCGTGGAAACCTGGAACAGTGATTTTTCTTTCTTTTTTTTTAGAATCGACGAATTATCTTTTATTTTGTTCATATTATTTCTTCTTTAATTGAAAATAGCAATAATTTATATAAGGTCTACATAAAAAAAATTTCGATCAACTATCTGTGTCAAATACCCCACTGTGCGTCGTTTTTTTTCGATCATACGGTATTTATTTAGGTAAATTGGATACTTACGGGCATATTCTATCTAAATCCGCTCTTGTGGAGACGAAATTTAAGCCAGAATCCAGGACGGATAAAGGTTTGGAACATTTCATGATCTCATCTTGGCTGCAATGGGCATGCCCTCGAACTTTGGTTGTAATCACTGCAAAAAAAAGGAAAAAAGTCTCAAATTGAAACAATTCACTCTTCATTTTCTCATATTTTTAGACTTAAGTTTTTACTATTAAATTCACCAATCACACCAAAAAAAACATTTACAATAAATTGTACTGAAGCTGTGGTTGGTTCCTTGTGAAACATCGTTGAAATATTAGTATTTTAATAAAGCACGCTTTTAGATGTTTCAAAAAACTTTTAATAAGAGTAACTTTAACTCTACATATATGTTTCGGCTTGTTAGGCCTTTTTCAAGAGTTTTTTAAGAACTAATCGTCTAATACACTGTAACTATATATATTTGCTATGGGGGTGGGTTCAGAGAGTTTACAATAGGGGTAATAAAAAATGTGTTTAGAAATCCTTGTTGGTCGTTAACATTATTTTCGTTTTTAACAGATTTTAGTATTTCTAACTGTTCAATGTAATTTAAGTGTCTACCTTTTGTTTCTCTGTGTAGTAACTTAATTGAGAAAATTAATGAAAACTCAATTAAGTTACTACACAGAGAAACAAAAGGTAGACGCTTAAATTACATTGAACAGTTAGAAATACTAAAATCTGTTAAAAACGAAAATAATGTTAACGACCAACAAGGATTTCTAAACACATTTTTTATTACCCCTATTGTAAACTCTCTGAACCCACCCCCATAGCAAATATATATATAGTTACAGTGTAGTTAGACGATTAGTTCTTAAAAAACTCTTGAAAAAGGCCTAACAAGCCGAAACATATATGTAGAGTTAAAGTTACTCTTATTAAAAGTTTTTTGAAACATCTAAAAGCGTGCTTTATTAAAATACTAAAACATTTATATTAAACTGATGTTAGATTCTTGAAAAAACCTCTGGATTTTCAAGAATTTCACAAACTTTTTGTTACTACACCTCTGACCAAAAAACGTGTAAACACAAAGTTATGTTAATGCTTCCTGTTACTTCCCTTTGTATTCTACCCTTTTTCCCTAAGTACTTGACGGTATTTCCCGCAATTTTCCCAATTTTCCCCAACAGAAACGGACATGATTTTCGTCCAGGATCGACCATTACACTTTCCAGGCTTGTATTTTCCGTTTTAACAGGTCTGAAACTCCAAAGAACGTGGAAAATTCGGAAAATTTTATAGCCTTTCACTTTTACTTTGTTCATTTGGAGGAAAACTTAATTTTGTATGGGGATTGAGCAAAATATCTTATTTTTGGGCTGCAAATATTTAAAATTATTCAAATTTTATATCTATCAAGTACAGTACGTCTGTCCGTTCTGTAGCTACGGGGTATCCCTGAGAGGGGAAACGATATTCTCTCCATGTTTTTCATAAAAAATTAGACGACGCGTCCCATCAATAAAAATTCGGCAAATTTGCAAGTAGCCAATAAAATGAGTGGGCGGAGCGAATTGCGGTGACGTACTCGTCATGTCGACATATAAAATATATTGTTGTTTATTTAAATGTTTTTTGTCCGCATTCCTTTCATAGAGACAGATCCAGCAGACGTACTGTAGATATAGATGAAGATTTTGTGAAGTTAATCACCAAAACCATCGATATTCTTGAGTTCCGCTTTAAAATGTATACCATAAAATAACGTATACGTACAATGCCATTTACGAAGCTATTAAAAAAAATCGCTAGTAGTATAACCAAATAAAAATTCAATGTTGCCCTAACAAAATTTATCTTATCGACATTTTTTTACGGCTTTTTTCAGTTTTTAGAGCCATATTCTACGTTTGCGGCGTTCATAAAAAATAATCACGCAAATCGAGCCGGCCGTTCGTCTAGTGCGGGCAAAATTATACGGAAATAATCTCATAATTTTAATGGTCGAAACCATTTCATAGTCATAGCGGTAAATTCTAAAAACTACAAATTGCATATTTCGTACTAAAGGAAGGAAAGAAACACTAAAAAATAAAGTTACTTGGTTTTAAGATTTTTTTTCAAAGGAAAATGTTTGTAATTGTTTCAATTTCAGACTTTTTGAGACGGTGTCAACAATAACCAAGTAAATATCAAACTGAAATGTAAGTTCTACGACTGTTGTGTGTAACCTAATTTTATTTGCAGAATACGCTGCCGAAATTTCCGGAATACAGTTCGGAACACCCTGTATAACAATTAAATCATAAAAAAAAATCTTTTCGATACAGGAAAAAAATAAATGTCATTTTTTCTACGGTAAAAAATCGAAATACGTTAACAAGCTTTCTAATTCGAACCCATAAATTAAAGCGTTTGTAACTACATCCCCGACCGAAGCTAACCACCTTCCCCCCAAACTTTCCTCGTCGCGTCCACGGATTACGGAGTATACACCCGAGTCGGATTTTGTGCTCTATGTATCTTTTCACCTCTTCCGCGAAACATTCCGGTACTTAGGGATTAAGTACTTAGGCCACGCCGGCCCCAGATTCCACTGTTAGTTTTACTTTTAATTCCCCTAAAGCGTTCAGGGCGTGCTTTTTTGTGTTTTGTCGTTTGCGAAAGTGTAATCGTCGAAATTATGACAGAATATGTTGCAGATTTTTAGAATTAAGGTTAAAAAAAAGCGTGAAAAATTACTTGTTGAATTTGGTTTAGGGTAAATCGGGGTAAAATGGGACGTATGAGGTAAGAAAACGTGACGTCATACTAGTAGTCTTGGTTTGTTAATATTAATTCTGTAAAATAATAGTTATTTATTATACAGGATGAGTCTTAAATAGATGCATTATATTTTTCCGAGCTTTGGTAGATTTCGATAAAAGGAAAATATTTTTCTCTTTTAAGTTTGAATATACACTCTGTATAAGTTTTTTATTTTATTATTTTCATTAATTGATGTTCGAGAAAGAATATTTATAAAAATGAGGAAGTTATACTGTCAGCTATCAGCCGGCTGTCATATTTCGTCCCCATTTCTTTTTGTTTAGCTTTGGGAAATGATAAATTGTCTATAGATTAGAAAACCACTTCATCGGTTACTTTTTTCCAGGCCCGGCAAAATCCAGAGGGACTTTGTGGATATTTTTATTAATCAAATTGGGATAATCATAGGCATTGGCGTGGATTTTGTCTCTATTTAAATCACCGTTAAAATATTCACAAAGTCCAGAAATACTGTAACAAAATTAACTTCAGTAATTTTAATTTTTCAAATTTTAACAAAAAGAATTTATAAGGTACTAGCGTGTACCAGCGACTTCGTTCGCGTCGAATTAATCATTTGTAATGGTGATGATAAAGCAAAGCAAAGAATTTTCATTAACATACAAACTGGATAAAATTTCTCACATTTATGTCAGCATGACGAAAAACAATATGGCGATATTATTATATAACTTGGTAATATTCTGAGGGGTATTTTCACTCGTTGGAATTTGACTTCGAAAAAATCCGTTTTGCCAAAAATAAGCTTTTTACGTCAAGCAGCATGATTTTAAAAATTTTCAAATATGTAAACCAAATAAATTATACTTGTCCAAGCGTTTTTCCGAAAGACTAATCGTTTTTAAATAACAAATATTGCTTAATATTTGGGGCGTTTTCACCCTCTTGAATTGGAGAAACCCCTCCTTATCGAACCTCTACACCCCACTGTCAATCGTTTGCCAAAAAGCAGCCTTTAAACGTCAAGCAGTTTAAGAATCGTGATTATTCATTATCATATTTTATGAAACACCCTGTATAAATTTATAAAAATCTTAAAATATGTAAAAATAATAAAATAAAATATACGTGTTTAAGGAGTTTTCCGAAAAACTCACCGGTTTTTAAATAAAAATATTTTAATATTTGAGGGGATAGTTTCACCCCTTAGAATTCGAGTTTCGAAAAATCCCTTCTTATCGAACCTCTACACCCTAAAGTCAATCTGTTTTCCAAAATCAGCTTTTACGTCGGGCGCTTTAAGCAGGATGCGTGATTAATCCAATGACCAGATTTTTCGAGAAACACCCTGTATATATTTAAAAAAATCTTAAAATATGTGTAAAAAACGGGAAATAAAATATACGTGTTTAAGCGTTTTTTCGAAACTTGACCGTTTTAAATAAAAAAAATATTGTAATATTTGAGGGGTGGTTTCACCCTCTTGGAACTGGAATTTCGAAAAATCCCTTCTTATTGAACCTCTACACCCTAGAATCAACCTGTATGCCAAAATTGAGCTTCTTACGTTGAGTGGTTTGAGCAGGATCGTGATTAATCAGTATGTCAGTCCCTTAAAGATTTTATATATCAGTATAGATACTTTTCCTCCACACTTTTTATTTAAAGATTTATAGATTTTTATCTGTTGATATACCAGACAATCGAAAAAAATGGCGTCAATGGAGACAATTTTCTATTACTTTAGAAAGTTAGACAAAAATTCTATTACGATCACACGTATAAAGTCCATAATTTGTGGAATTTACAACAAAAACGAAAACAAAACTGTTACCAGTTACTTTTTCGTAAACTGATAAAAAGCTAAATCCGGCAACGCTGGTTCTCAGCTTTTCCAACGACATTATTTTTCATTTGTGCGACTATTTGCGTAACACGGATTTCTTCTTTCCCCACGATCAGTTTAGTGTATAGAATGGGGCAGGAAAAAAAGAAAAGGATGATAGGTGGAAAATGAAGAATAAAGGGATGGGGGATGTTGAAAAATGCGCCCTCTTTCGTAATTTTGAGATAGAAATCAGAGTAGGCTAGGAAAATTTCATTTTTTTTCAGCGTATATTTAAGTATTTTCTAGGTTTTTTAATGCTTTAGAATTTTCAATTTCTTTCCTGAAGTCATTAATAAACAAACAATTTGACAATGTGCTACATTATTTTTTAAATTAATCATCATCAAACTATATAGCAAAAAAACAGGAAATTTTCTAATAGTAAATTAGTTTTTTTGTCTGTTCTGACATAGTAACATTTTGAAAAAAAACAGGGTTTTAATAATTATTTCATTGTCGTGATCCATTAACGAGACAATTATGAAATTAAATTATTAACGTTG